ATATATATATATATATATATATATATATATATATAATATATATATATATATATATATATATATATATATATATTAGGCTTAGCCAGGAAGGTGTGCAATTTCAGGCCATAATATGACCACGCAAAAACTATTTGATTTTATAGATAGACCACAACTGTTAAGATGCTTTGAAAACTTAACCACAGCAAATTTCAAAAATACATTTTGAAAATTCACTGAAAAAATTATCTTAGCTATAGAGAAACTTAAAAAAAAAAACTTATCCTAAAAGAAGCAAATAAATCTTTGTAAAAAAAAAAAAAAAACGAAAAATAAAATAAAAATAATTAACTAATACTAAAATAAAAATAAAAAAATTTAAACTTAAATAATAAACTATAACGATAACATTATTTATATTACGTTTGGAATAACTTTGAATCGTATATCTTTACTAATGTTTTTAGTAACACAATATTATGCGAAACCCATTTAAATAAAGTAACAACTTACATCTAACAATTGTCTTATAAATACACACATTTAAAAGTTAAAAAAAAAGATTCCTATCAATTGATAGCATATGTTACTGTAAGAAATTCTTCACAGTAATGTAAAGAAAAAAGTTATTAAATCGTTTATTTCAAAAGTTGAAATAATTTTTATATTTAAAGACATTAAAAAATACATAATTAAATAACTAGAAACAATTGTATATGATATACTTATATATAAAATTTATATATATATATATATATATATATATATATATATATATATATATATATATATATATATATACATATATATATATATATATATATATATATATATATATATATATATTATATATATATATATATATATATACATATATATGTATATATATATATATATATATATATATATATATATATATATATATATATATATATATATATATATATATATATATATATATATATATATATATATGATATTTATTATTATTTTATATAAAAAATCGTTAGCAGCAATTTATTACTTAATTTAAATGCATTTCAATAATATAAAAACATAAGTATAGATCAAAGTTATTTAGTTTGAACAGCTTTTAAAAAAGTCTTTTTTTCTTCCCAACTAAACTTTTTTTTTTTCTTGAGTGCATTTGAACTTTTCTTCTGTTGAGTCTTATCTCTTGCAAAGTTCATCAGACCTATTAGTTCTTTGTGAGACTAATTTGAGTTCAGTTGTCTCATCTTGTGATCTTAGTGTTGATAGTTATCTTCCTTTAAATCATAAAGACTCCAATAGTCACATGGAGATTTGCCAGGAATCCATTTATCGGGAAACTAGGCTTGAATCCACAGAGTATTCTTTTATGTGCTTTTGCTCAGCACTCTATCATCTTTCTCTTTGTTCTATATTGCTCTCTTTCATCTCAAGAATGCACTCTTATCAATGTTATTTCTAATTAAATTAAGCAAGCCCTCTTTATTTTTCAGTCAATATATCTCTTGTTGGTAACTTGAATGTTTATCACACTGAATGACTTGGTTCAAGTGTCAGTGACTCTGCAGATGGCCCATATGCAGGTGGCCCATATATTATAGCCCATAACTTTTGCCTCTCAATCTCTGAAACAATTTGTCAATTATTGAAATCATTTACCTTCTCTACTTGACTTGTTCATGATCCGAGTCAGTGCTCAGTTTCTCCTCATTCACCCTAAGGTGCTTTTGGTCACGGTCATCTCTTTAAAACTATTATTTCATTTTTTTTAATCATCAGAATCCCCCAATAATTGTATCTCTTACAACCTTAAAACCTATCTGTGATTTTCTTTGTGATGGCTCATGGGTAGATATCTTTCGTCTTCCTGCTGATAAATGTGCTTCTTGTGTAACTTTTTTGATTCAGGCTAGCATGGAATCTTTTATTCCCTCCCTGTTTACTATTGCTAGAAAACATAGTAAAAACATTTTGTCATTTTATAAAAACGCCAAAGCCAGCTTCTTAGGTCAAAAAATCTTATATTTATCTAAAATTTAGAAGACATCGCCTTTAACAGTGCCTTAAATATAGGCGAATCTATTATTCCTCTTCTCTTGCATGGTTTAGATTTTTCTACCTCACCTAAAAATGAAGCTGAGTTGTATAAACTTTTTATAAATCTTATCTCTTGATTATCTCTTGATTCCACTAATCACATCTTATCTGATATAGCCAACAAACAGGTTGATCTATTACTTGACATTCATATCACTCCAGCCTATTTATCTAAATTGATTTATTGCTAAGACTCTTCTACAGCTTGTGGTTCAGACAACATATCTGTTATAGTCTTGCAGAAGTGTTTTCTGGAGCTGCTGTCTAAACTTAATAAAATCTTGTTTTCCAGCCGAAAAGAAACATCTGTTATCCCTATTTTATCCCTAAACATCTTGCTGAAAAGAAACATCTGTTATCCCTATTTTCAAAATTTCTGGAGAGCGTTATGACTCATTCAACTACCATCCCATAAGTCTTCTTCATATCATAAGCAAGGTTTTTGAGTCTTTAATTAACAAACACTTAACCTCTAATCTTGATGCTAACAATTTACTCCCCAATGATCAATACGGATTATGATCTTTTCTTTTTACTGCTGATTTTAAACGGTAACAACTGATAGATTTTTATATTGTGCATTAGATAGATGTGGACAGGTTAAGGTTATCGCTCTCAACATTTCCGAAGCCTTTGATAAAGTTTGACATGCTGGTCTTCTCCATAAACTCTCTTCTTACAGTGCATCAGGTAACACTTTTAAGATTATTGAATCCTTTCTTACCAATCATAACATAAAAGTTAATATTTGTTCTTGTTTTAATAAGAAGCCGACACTCTCTGATTGTTAAGAGGGGGCATTTAAGCTTAAAAAGGATCTCACTTCTGCTACAGCATCGGCTCTCAGTGGCTAGTTAACTTCAACTTAGATAAACTCTTTTTTTTTCTTCAGCTAATCATTGTCACAGCAATCTAGATCTTCCTATATTTATGAATGGTAATGTACTCGATGAATCATCTACCCTTCATCTTTTAGGACTAACTCTTACTTTCAATCTTTCTTGGAATTCGCTCCCTTTATCTTGTTTTCCTGATTTATACAATTTGCTATATTTAAGGTCGTCTGTTAATTGTATTATAAACTTCATCTTTTTTCTCCCAACAACTTCCAACCAATATTAGAAATGAAGATGAAGATGTTTAAAAAAATGTTATATATATATATATATATATATATATATATATATATATATATATATATATATATATATATATATATATATATATATATATATATATATATATATATATATATATATATATATATATATATATATATACAAATATACACACACATGAAAATATCATTTTCACAAACATTAGTTTATTGGGTTTATACTGAACCTTAAAAATATATTCTCAGTAAAAAAAAAGCAAATAATTAACAGGTTTTAAAATATTGTCACTTGAAAAGTCCATAATCATGGATTATTGAAGCCTAAGATTAAAACAAACAATAAATTAAAAGATGGATAACTATCTTATTATTCTATTGAAGAATTAAACAATCATAAGCTATACTTAGAAAATTTATAAGTTTGGTTGTCTAAAAAATCTTTTATAAAAACATTACTTGATTTTAATAAAAAGTTGTTGACCTATTTATTATAGTTTGTTGAGTTTTCAATAGTATTTTATTTCTAGTTTAGAAATAAAATACTATTATAAGCAACAAAATAGAGAATAAGTTCCTCAGAAAATTTTAATTTCTTTTATAAATTGGGATTCAACTAAAATCAAAACTATGATTCTTTACCATTAAATTAGTCCTGTCAAACCCACCCCTTTATTTTATCAAACATGAATGTGGTAAAAGTCAATCTCTAGTTAATCGCTTTTTTATTATTATTATTATTATTATTATTGCTATTATTATTATTATTATTATTCTTATTATTATTATTATTATTATTATTATTATAACATTTGCTTACTTAGCTTGTATGAGACCTTATTGATAACATCATAATGAAACATAATGAAGTTTTGTGTTAGAACAGGTACAATCTGTTCATTCTCAAGTGCACAGAAATAAATATATAGAACCCTTTTAGAATGTTTTAGGATGTAACTACTGCTTTATAAAAGCAAAAAGCCTCGTATTGATAAAAATTTCCATAGTATTAAAAATTTCTCTAGCAATTTAGCGACAAGTATTTTTTTGTTTTAACTCAAACTTAAATAATAATTTAAAAATTAAAGAAAGTATGTTCATAGAATTGTCAAAATCTGATATGAATATAGAGTCTTTCTGCTTTTTTTGTCTGCTTTTTTTTATTTTATGTATTTATTCATCTTTTTTACCTTTTCTTTTGTAACTTTTGATTAGGTTTTAATTGTATTTTGTCATATAATAGTTTGTTCATATATGTTTGCATTTTATATTCTTTTTATATCACCTTAACAAGTTATAAAAACATATTTTAAATATAAAACTTTAACTAAAAATGATTAGTGTTAGTCGAAACATGTATTACTATTTTATATTGATAAAATGATCTTAACAATTTAAAAAATTGCTTCATTAAATTAACAGTTTTTAAAAAGAAAGTTTTTAAAAAGTTTTTAAATTGACTTGAAAAAATATTTTTTGAATTAAATAAACAAAAATATCACTAATCTGCTTCAATATGGTAAAATAATCTAAAAAACGAAAATCTGCCTATAATCAGGGATAGGAAGTCAAAAGCCACTATTTCTACCCAGCTTTTGAGATGTTAAAATTCTGGAAACCAGAGGGGAAAAAAAGAGCATTTCTTACTCTAGGACTTATCATCCCTGATTGCAAACTAAATATGATTTAGCCTACTATTTATTTTTCTTGCATAAACTATTTAGAAGGTGCGACAAATCTTTTTTGTAATGATAAACAGAGTTTTTTAAATAAATATGTAAATACGATGCACTATCAAAAGTTAACTAAAAAGATATACTTCAATTGTTGGAGGGTTAATAGACCAAGGTAACCATTGTACTAAAGAATCAAATGAATCAATTACAGCTGCATTAATTTCCATAACATGTAGTTCAGGGCAAATACGTTTTAGAGTTAACCTTTCAGATGATAATGATATCTCCGTAAAATCAACCATCTATTATAAATAAAATAAGAATAAATTATTAAAAACCACTGATTTGAAGTACAAAAGTTTTAAAAATTAGTGACGAAATCTGCATAGTTTTGTTGCTCCTATTTTAATCATAATACTTTTTTAATAAAACACTAAACACATTACAAGAATGATATACATAAACATATTACAAAATGGCATGCAATGAACATGTATGATTTAGTAATAGTAGCAATAATTACTGTCAGTATTATCCAATCAGTAATGCAATATTTAATTATTAAACATGTAAATGGAATGTAAGAAAAAAATTTCTGAGAAATAAAATTATCAAATGTCTAAGTTTACAAAACAAAATTTGTCACCAAGTTATATAGCACATTTATGCTATTTAACTGTTACATCTAATTTAAAAACATTTGATTTTCAAACTAAAAATTTACTTTGGTAATTAGAATATTAAAAACGTAAAAAAATATAATTTCTTACAATTTATAAACATCATATTTATTATTATTTTATATTATATGATTATCTATAAATTACAAATATTTATAAAGAACATTTGTAATAAATATTTGCTAATTAGACTAAAACTTCAACAGTTAATACAAAAATGAAGGTAAAAAATGACAATTGCTCTGGATTTTATGTCAGAAAGCAAAGTGCAATCCTAATTTTAATTAGACTTTGTACAGCATTCTCCTGTATAAATTTAATTTAATCTTATTTATATTTGATAAAGCAAATATTATATAATTTGTAAAAACAGTTAATGAATAAATATATAAATAAATGTAAAGACATAAAAAAATTTGAGTTATTGAACAAGTAAAAAATATCAACATATCATTAAAAAAGTTACTAACTAATGTTTTTATTAACCTAGTTTTTTTAAAGAATAGCTTTCTGCAAAATATTATATTTTAAATCTATTTAAGTTAGGCAGTGATTTAATTATATTCAAAACTTGTTTTTAGCTTATCAATAGTATATAAAGAATTCATAGAGGTTATTATCATACTGAATTAATTAACCAGTCATAAAATTTAACAATCCAAAGCAATTTATGTATTTTATTTATAAATTTTTATAATAATGAGAACATTATTTATAAATAAAACTATCCTAAATTTTTAAATCATCTTTTATAAATTATAAATATTATAATAAATAATATTTCACTATTAATGTTTCATGGCATACATTTGTTTTTGCTCTGTTAAAGCTCGAGAGGCATGGAAAAATGAACTAAATTTAACGCCTTGATTTGCTGCTGCCCTCACAAAAGCTGTATTGGCAGTTGTTGTTATTGCTTGTAAGGTTTCACCAGTTCCAAAAATAACCTTTGAGCGATTTTTCACACTAGCACTTTCTTCTAAAGACATAGCATAAAAGGCTGGATTATCTTCAACAACAGTTACTTTTTTAAATAAAATTTCAGAGCGTTTTTTCTCTTCTGGTCCTCCAACTGTATTAAGTATTTGTTGAAAATTATTAAAAGCAGTTTGACAACAGTAAAGTTCTTTGCCATTAATAAACTCAAGTAATAATGGTAGTGCAGGTTCACTTCTCTCCTCTGCTGCTTGTTTAGAAAGAACTTCTTCCCGGAAAGTATAATTACACTCTCCATTTGTGATATTTGAAGTCAATACAATTAGGCTTGTAATATCAAGATTCACTTTCATACATCGTGCAGTGAAATCTGAAAGCAAATTTGTGATGTGTTCTAAATTAGATTCTGCTTCCAATTTCATCCACTCATTTATATTGTCATAATCTGGGTCAGGCAAAATTTTTCCAATGGGAGTAACACCTGTTCCGAGTAGGCTTTCATGTACAGATTTAGTTATACCTCGAGGAAACACAAAGCAAATACTTGGAGATTCATAATGAATAGGATTTTGTTCAGCTGCTAAAATAAATTCTTTTGATAGTGAAATAGGATCCTTGTCTCCAAAATTACCTTCTCCTTTCCATATCCTATGAACTGCAAGTGGTTTACGAGCAATAATTTTTATCCATTTATAACCACCAGTAACAACTGCATCTACAACAACATCACTTATAATCTCAGTATCATTTTCATATGAAAACGACTGCAAGATGGATACAACATCGGGGGAATTTTCAATTGCTTTTACAACTGCTCTAAGATTTGTTATGTTGGTACTGATTAAATGGTGCTCTAAAGTTACTTTATCTTTAACATTTTTCAAACTAAGTAAGCCTTTTAGTTCAGCACTAATTTTTCTCTCAAGCTTAGAGGCCCCAACAATATGACTCATTAATTTGCATCGATTCAATAAATCCTCAGCTTCGCTAATCAACGAAATCAATTTTTGTTCCATACCTCTCTAATGAAACACTTAAGTTTGTACTTAAATATAATTGACTTGACACGAATTATAAAATAACTAAACCCAAAAAAAATATATTACTACGGTTTTAAATATATAACGCTCGTTTTATGAGCAACATAATAACAACAGATATAATAAAGGTTGGTTACGGCGATCAGCGAAGTTTCCCGACCCTCATTTGGTATTTCGCAAAAGTGACACTTCCTAACCTAGCTACCCCTTCCTCCTATTTATTATTTTTTTTCTTCCCCTCCATCCATAAAAAGTAAATAGGTAAAATATTTTCTACCCATTCCCGTACCTAGGGGTCGTCGAGTGCGATCAACCCTTTTTTTTAATAAATTCTTTTTGTTTCACGCAGATATTTATTTACGCACATTTATTTAATTTCTATTCATTTTTTAATTCAATTTTATATATATTTATCACTTTTTCTAAATTTAAGTGGCTGGATTTCACGAGCCAGCCCCCACCCATCTTTCCCTCTATCCTATTCCCCCTATGCTAAGCCAACAATATTTTCAGATATAAGAGTATTGTACAGCATAATATAGCTTGAAATTCAAATAAATAATTAAAAATAAAAATAATAAGGAAACCACAAAGTCAATACCACTTCTAAATGATAGAAGTTACCTGCCTTTTACTATTGTGTTGCCATTTTACTGTTGTGTTGCAACACTGTGCCATATAGGGTTAAATAAAGTATTTTTTAAGAAAAATACTTTATTTAACCCTAAAATTAGTGTCTGAAACAATTTTAGTACTTGTTTAATACAACATAAGTTGAAAAAAATTATTAAGAAAGATTTTTTAATGGTGCTTCTGCAGACTAGTTACTGACCTCAATGTCCCTAAAATAGCATAATATTTTTTATTTTTAGTATTATTTTCTCTTAAACACCGAGCAATAAAATTACAGGTAAATTAATTTATATTAAAACAATTACAAATTAAATTAAGGCCAGTCTTGGCTCTCCAAACATTTGTCTTTAATGCCAATAACTAGACCGACTAGACGGTTAGGTCTATTTTAGGAATATTCTCCTCCATCATTGTTTTAAAATTTTCTTTTTGTTCTTTTAAGTTCCATAATTGGAACACTTCTTTTAATATTGATATAGTATCAGCTTGCAATTCTTCTTGAGGTAGTGTGAATTTAATTTTTTACCTTCTATCATGCATTGAAAGATGTTCAAGCCACGAGTTTTACATATAGCAATTACTTCGTTTATAAATGATTTTTTATTTTGTGTTGCCAGTAATTGACTAATTATCAGCGAATAGCAAGTTTGATTTTTCATTAGCCTAATTAATACGTTTACATTATTTCGAAGAAGAGTAGTTGAAATATCTTCTATTTTAAAAAAAGAATGTAGGTAATTTTTTCTATACTTTAAAATACAAAAAAAAATGATTTTAAAACTGCTCTTCCAACAGCGTCTATGTTTCTTAGAAAACTAATGTCATAGTTGCATAGCTCAAGGCCATATATAAGCTTTGGCACTGTCAAGGTATTGTATAAATGGACTATTGTTGACGGCTGACAAAAACAAATTCCACTGTCAATTAGAGCTATTGCAACGAATTGAAACTGCGTTATACGTTCACTAAGATTTATTTTTTAACGTGTTGCGATTTTGTTTTTGTTGGTATCGTTATACCATTGGAAACCCAGATGTTTTAATTTATTTTGGAGATGTATATTAGTTCCGTTAATTTGAATAATGTTGTTGGAATAATGTTGTTGGAAATTATTATTTGAATAATGTTGTTGGAAATTGAACTTTTACCAGAGATCAGAAATTCCGTTTTCTCAGTGTTGAGCTTGATAAAGTTTAATATTCCATATGTTTGAAATCTGTCAATCAGTTCTTGCAGACCAGAGATTGTTGGACTTAGCAAAATCACATCATCTGCATATGCAATGACACCAGTATAGATGTCATTTATCGTCGACCCTACTTTACATTCTGAGACTATTTCATTTAAGATATTTTCAGTATAGATGCTATATAAATATGGCGATAAAACAGGCCTTTGTCGCACCCCTTGTGACAAACTGAATTGATCTGAGGTAACTCCCAGATAGGATATATTTGCAGTACCAAAACGATATAGCGATAAGATTGCGTGTACAACAGATAAGGAAGTTTTTTTTGGAAATAGAGCTTCTCAAATAGCAAATCCCAGTTGCAAGTATCAAACGCTTTATTTGCATCTAGATTACACATCAGGGGCGGATTAAGACTTCTTGGGGCCCGGGGCTATTTTTGTTTTTGGAGGCCTTTTTATGGGCCAGAGCCTAATAATGACTTTAGAAAAAGAAAAAAAAAAAAAGGTCCTCTTAAATTTTTGGGGGCCCCTAAATTTGCGGAGCCCGGGGCTATAGTCCCCCCCCCCTCCTTGATCCGGCACTGCTACACATATATAAAGGCGTGTTATTGTTATTATAGTGTTTAATGGTTTTGCTCAATAAAAATTCTGCATGGAGCGTAGAGCTATTTTTTTTTAAAAACCCAACTGATGGGAATGGCTATCTTTAATACTAGGACATAAAAGTAAAATTAGATATTCTAAAAGTTTGGCAAAGATAGGTAATATGAGGAGGGACAGCCAGGGGGCTTTGACCCCCCAAAATATTTTAAAATTATAGTTATTAGGGAAAAACATATATGTAAAATATTTTAACAAATATATTACCCCCTTCCTCCTTTTAAAGAACCATAGGTCTCTCTAATATCAAAATTGTGGTTACGGTTCTGAATAGAGAAATATTAAAAGTGGGCTTTTTTTTAATTGCTGATAAGTTGCTTTGATTAAATTGCTAGCGTTAATGACTGTTTTGACAAAATATGATACCGTGGACAAATTTTGCTTTCTTAAACTTTTTATAACTTTTAAAATATCAATTATCGACGACTTGGCAAAAAGCACATACGACACCTTTCACATGAGAGACCTCTGCGGAACGGCCCTGACGTTGTTTAGTGAAACAATAACTATTAATGATTATTAAAAACTAATTATTACAATTCCCTTTAACAATCTTAATTTTTCTACTAATAATAAAGAAAACTACTTTGTTTAAATCTTTCTAATACAAATACTGACTGCGCTAAATATATTTTACAAAGGCATCCATTTAGAACATATGCAGTAAAACCATTGATTTAAAATCCGCCACTCCCCCTCCTCCTCTTCCTCTACCCTATCTCCACCTTGTAAGCACCTATGTACTTTTCATGACCCCCCACTATCTGAGAACGTGCGCATTATTTGTATAAAATTACCCCTTCACTTTCTCAACGCTCAAAACATTATAAACAAAAAAACTTTTAGTTAATTCGATATGTCTCTGTACATAACACAATATTGAATTTTTAAATTAGTGAAATTTAATGTTTCTTTCAAAAAAAAGAAATTAATTATTAGGATAAATAGAGAATAAGAGTTAATGAACCCGCGTACGTAATAGAGACCTTTAACATCCCTTAAGTGCGTATGTACTTCATGGGAGATTCCTTTAAGAAACCTTTAAAATAGTAGTCAATCTTTAAATTCAAAATCTTAGTGGACGTTTGAAGTAAGTTGCAGTTACACTATTCTTTCGTTTTATTTCAAAAATTGAAGAGATCTCGAATTCGTGAAAGATTCTCGAATTCGTAACACTCTTACTTTTAATCGTTATTTAAAGGTTTGAAAGACAAAAAAAGCTATCAAGTTGGCTCAAATTGATAAAAAATATGCTAGCAATGCTATAAAAATAATTTACAAAACGTTAAAAAAATTAAGCTAAAGAATTTTTTGGCTAAATATTTTATATAAATTATTAATCATATAAACAATTAAAAAAATTAAGAGTTTATCAGAATTTGCAAACTACTTTGAAAAATTATTGAAAATCCCAATAAAACTCATCAAAAAAATAATTCGAGAATTCCACCTTTTAAAAACCATTATAATGTAATAATAGCTGAATTCATATAAGAAGAGATAAATTTAATCTAAAATCAAAAAAAACTTAAAGCTATTTCGGTATCTCTGCAGAACCTTTGATATATGCGAAATATGATGTTTTAAAAAATGGCTTCTAAAACATGGCTAAAAAATTCTAAAAAATGGCTTCTTCAATAACTCTATTAATTATGGATGGACAACTGAATAATTGTCGACATCAATCGCTATCCCCCCAAGTAAAATTGAATAAAAATTCTTTAGTCAGTCCGAACAATTCTTGAATATCATTCTAATATATTTAAGAATTTTTACAATTTGAATTTATTACTAACTGTTTAACGCTTTATTCTAAATTTCTAATAAATTAAACTATTAAATATTACAACAGCAAGAACTTACCGCTGTACTTTTTTATTTACATATTTTTGTTTTTGATGCTTTAAGAAGACCTTAAGAGTTTGTCTCAAAGCACCGACAAAAAGCATTTAACTACAAAGTTCACGCTTTTTTCTTTACCGATAACGTAAAACTTTTGATGTTTAGATACAGAAAAAGTCTTTAACTTTAGCTGTACATTAGGCTACTTGAAAAATTATTCGTTTATAAAAAGTAACCACTTTGTGTAGTTAACACTATTTCTTAAAATATACAACAATTATAGGGCAACAATTTCACTCCAAGTAAATTGTAAATTAAGTTTCTTCTAAATCAAGGAATAAGATAAGGATCAATTCTTTCCTCTCACTTCTATAACATTTATACTCAAAGCCTTATTGAAACAAAAATCAATGTTTAGTTAGTACATTTATATATGGTATATTACTGGCGTGATAGCATTAGCTAATGATATTCTACTTTTGAGCTCTACACTCTCTTGTCAAGTTTATAAAAACATGCAATATTTACAGTAATTTCAAACTAATTTTAAAAAAAAGCAAAACTATATGGTAACTTTTTCTAGTAATAAAAAAAAAATTAAGAATATACTTAAATGCGCAAGGCTTAAATGAGATTCTGGGTATTCCATCTTTGCGTCATTAAGTCATTAAAATTTAAAAAATGGTTTCAAACTTTAGAGCTTTTGTGCGGAGTTATATGAAAACAATTATCGAATATGAAAAAACAAGATATAAAAGAAGCGGTAAAATCATTTCTAATTTTTTCGAAGTACAGTAAAAATATTTAAATCATCTATTTAAAATCCAAGAAATATCAAAATGTATTCAACAAAATAAATTAAACTTGTATTCAACAAAATAAATTAAACTGATTTTATTGTTTAAAAACATAAACACCCTCTAGTTTAACACTCTATTGTTGGTTATAGGCAGAAACTTGTCGTTGTCAGATGCTAAATTAAAAAAGTTTAATACCAAATAAAAAGAAGGCAAAAATCAAACTTTTGATTTTTGACTATGAGATATGCAACTATGAGATATGAATACTGCTAAAAACACTGACCATGAAAATGGGACATGCCCTAACCTTAAAGTCTTATAGGACCAGTAGAACAGCGTAGGACCTAGCACTAAATCTTTCGGAACGCCACTGGTAAATGGCATTTACTCAAGTGAATAACGTATTACCTAGAAGAACGCGCCGTGATCGATTAGAAAGAAAAGCATTTATCCAGTTTAGAATGTTACCTTCAATTCCGTAGGATTCAGGTTTTTGCAGTTATCTTCTGTGGAAGACTTTATCGAAGGCTTTGGTGAAATCAAGAAAAAGCTACTGAAACCTTCCGAGAAACGCTGTAGGTCAGAAAGTCTATGGTTTCAAGTAGATTTGTCGCGCAGGCTTTTTTGTTGATGAAGCCGTGTTGACAATCGGCAATAAGTTTATGGGCTACAAGGTGCAGCATGATATTTTTTTTTAACCATTTTTTTTGCATGGGACCGAGGTGATGGAGATAGGCCTGTAGTTTTCTGGGTCGAGTCTTTAGCCTTTTTTGAACACAAATGTCACGTTTGCCGAAAGCCACGCTTTTAAAATTACACCTTGATCCATCGATTTCTAAAAAATGAGTAAATAAATAGCGAGTAGGGTAGCTGCTGCATCAGTACATGTTTTAAGCACAAATGGGCTGATACGGTCACCTTCAGTACTGACTGGAACTGGCTGTTAAGTATATTGGCTATGGATGTCCGATCGCTACTTATTTTCCCAGAGGGTGAGCACGTAGAAGTTGTTTGGTTACTGACGGCGCGTTTATTGTTTACATAGGCGTATAGACGCTTAGGGTTCCGTTTGTCATTTGCTAAGTTGTATTCAAAAGCTCTAACTGCAATGTAGGAAGCTTTTTCGACAAGGTTTTGAGTTAGGTTGTACTCTTTGACAAGAGGGACAATTCACCATTTGCTGTTGCGGTTTCAAAAAAATTTTTACGTTTAATTAGTAAGAGAACTTACTAATTTAATCAGAAGTGAGTTTAAACTCACAAAGCGAGAGATTATTTCTTGTCTAGTATAATTGCTATTTGCTGCATTAATTCATGCGAAGACACGGATAACTTGTCCAAATTCGAGTGATTCTCCAACCAATTATCTGAACTTTATTCATTGATAATGAAGTATAGATAAAAATTGGAAACTATATTCAAATCAGCTATTTCTGCAATTAGTAGTCATCTGTGGTATTTAAGTAAGAAACTTAAATACCACAGTTTCGCGTGTTCTCTGAACATGTTTCACTCGATCCATTAAAGCTTCTTTTCCATTGGAAGTTAACAATTGTACATTAAGTCTTAAAAGTTCACAAATTAGGTCTCAGACCTCAGAATAGTTGCATTTTTGTTTGCAGTATTGTATATGGATGGACCATATAAACAAATAAATATATAATTACGCAAAACTACAATATTTTTAATGATGCTGAGCAAGTGGCAAACGTTAATGATTCTTAATAAGAATTTCACGGTGGAAGCTTTTTATCAAAATGAATTAAAAGCTTCAACTTTTTACATTGATTTTTTGAACCACCCTAATGCTCATAGGCCAAGATAATTTTAATTGTTTTATAGGCTTTACAGAAACCATGAAACCTCAGGCTAATAAAAATTGCAATTTTATTTAAAAATAAAAATTGATAAAAAAATTATCTATTTTTGGTAAAAACAAACAAACAAAAAAATCCGCTTCTAAAACTAATTATAGCCATCCCTGAAATAAGTATTACAACAAATTTTTTTAACCTTTAATTACCCATTTTATATTTAGAATCTTTTAAACCCTATTTGTTTCAGCGTTTCTTCTTAATTACAGCAAAAATCTATAAAATATTAATTCTGATCTTTATCCAGCCTCATGGCTATGCATGTGTATTTAATTCAGAGAATTAGAAGGAATGCTATGAGTCGCTGTCCCAGTTTTAGAGGCAAAAATATTGCTTTTCAACATATACTCTATGAAAACACAAACTTCGAATACCTAAGTTAAGAATCTAACCAGTCTAATCAGTTGAACTTACACAAGATAATTTATTTTTTCTAAATAAACTTCTAAAGTTTATTATTTGAATTATTAGTATATTCACTTAAAAAAATGTGTAACAAAACGGTTATATATTTTTTATCGGTTTCTTTAGTTTTCATTTATTTATTCTGATATAGATACGGATTATTTCATTAATCCGTAACTATATCAGATGCATACTTACAATATTATGTTTTTTTTTTCCATTTCTCTCTCTTAATTCTTTCCGCGAAGGATGTTTTTATTATTTTTTTTTTAGATGTTATGAAATCACAAATTTGACACACAAAAAAAAAATTAAAGCAAAAGAAGCATAATTAGTAGAAAAGTTCTTTCTAAAAACCATAAATTTTTGTCGGAATATGTATTTAGAAAAACACAGTTTAGTTTGTCCTTTCACCAACGAAATCTCGGTTTCTTGTAAAAGTGTTACAGTTCGAAAATTAGACACTATAAAATGGATGTTGAAAACGATAAAACAACTTTTATTAAAAACTAGATATTCTAGTAAGAGGATGTTTCTTTTGTATCGATCTTGTCAATCGTATCAATCGCGCACACATTTTTTCTAAAATAGGTAACGAACTTGTTGTGTACTCTTGCAATAGTAAAACACACTTAAGACGGTGGGCATAAAGTACTCCCCAGCTCTCCGCTGTCGCGCAATCCCTAAAAGCACAAAAACATAAAATTACTCCTGAATGATTATATAATAATATCATTTATAATAAATAACTCATTCGAAAAAGCTAATACCTTGATTATATCAAGACCTCCAATAAACTCACCGCCCACATATATTTGCGGAAAAGTTGGCCAATCTGAAAATGTCTTTAAACCCTGTCGAACCTAAAATAGGAACAAAATATGAAATCGTGGGAATTTCTTTGATTTCTAAAGATAAGTCTAAAATTGAGACAGTTTTGCAATAATTCAAAAAATTACTATAGCAACAACAACAACAAAAAAACAACATAAAAGTAATCATTACCATAAATACTTTTATAAATATTCGTGGTCTTCAAATCTGTTAAATCTAATCTCTCGCAAAATTCACTAGAATTTTTTAGACTAATATAGATTTGGTTGTTCTAACTTCAAACTCAGTTTGAAGTTGAAAAGCAAACACTTCTTACTACTACCTTAAAGGGCTGATATCTTTCATATATTTCACTAATAATCGAGAATCCTGCGTAATCGCCTGGATCCATGCAGGTATGGAAGCTATTATTCCTTCTCGTCAGTTTCAAGCCAAGACTCATTCTGCTTCATGCTTTTAATCTTCTTGCGCAACTGCAATTTTTATCATTTTTATCGTAATCATCTCATATTTTTATCGTAATCATCTCATATTTTTATCGTAATTATCTCATATTTTTATCGTAATCATCTCATATTTTTATCGTAATCATCTCATATTTTATTCAGAAAAACAACACTCTTGAGAACAAACGTTTTTTTATTATTGTAGGAAATCAATGCAAAAAGGTGTTGTCTGATGATAAGGTCCATTATTTTCAGGTTACTCTCGCATTTTATTCTCGCAGATTTACGTCGCATTTTATCTCAGAAATTAGATTATAAAAACTTTTGGAAAACCTTTAACAATGTCATTAACAAAGGCGAGACATTACATTATTCTTACGTGAGACTGATTATATAATTAGTTTAATTGATTAATTTAACTAAATAGCTATCCTAAGGATAAGACAGAACTATTTGCATAGACTTTTCCTCAAATTCATTTCTTTAATATAATAATTGCACTCTTACTATCACCCCAAAGAAACAGATTAACCCATTGTGAGACATTTTAATCACAAGTCATTTCTCACTTAAACACCTCTATTTCTTGTGATCACAACAGCCTTCCTGTCACAATATTACTAAAGTGCTTTTCAAAACTTTAACACTCTCTAAACTATTAACTTAATCTTGTTTTTTGTCTGCTTGAATATAGAATCTGCAGTTCCAATTTTAAAAAACTCTGGGGAGCACTCTAACGAATATAACTATCACCCAGTCTTCATACTATTATTAATGAGGTCTTTGAGTATTTAATTACCAAACTTAATCTTCAACTTTCTCTCAGTCACTCAACTTTCTCTCTGACAATAATTACAGCTTTTCTTTTTTTACCTTGTCTTTTCAATAGCTTTCTGATAGCCAATATGTTAGCCTACCTGTTATAGTAGAAAATAAATATTGAACATTAGATAAAAATAATGAGGCAAAGGTTATTGCTCTTGACATAATAAAGGTATTCAATAAAGTCTTGCTTGTGGTCTTCTCCTTAAATTCTCTTCATATAGTGTATTTGGAAAAGTTTTTAAAATTATTTTCCACTACAGCATTAAAGTCACCTTCAATGAACAACACTCTCCCCTTCATTTCCATTAACTTTTAGGGTGCCACAATGTTGATCCTTTTTCAATGTTGATCCGATGTTTTTCTTTTTCATCTACATTAATAATATTTTTTCATCTTGATAGTCTTCACTTTTTGCTATTTGCTAATGGCACAAATAAGTTTAACTAGTCTTGACAACAAAGGCTTTTGTCAAGACTAGTTAGTATTAATTACTAGTAGACTCTCCAGCCTTGACAAAAAACTTACCAGCATTAGCTGGTAAATTTCAACTCATACAATCTGATTCATACAATGCAGCTATCTGTAATTTTTCTGTAAACCTTTTTATTTATTTTTTTTAATTTTAACCCTATTCTTTCTATTAATTACTGACAAAAAATTGCGGTTGTTTGCAGGCTTATTAACTAAATTGCGGTTGTTTGCAGGCTTGTTGGGGGTTAAATTCATTTATAATGAAACAAAAAAAAAAAAAAAAAATACCTCCTCATTTTCCAAAATATCATATGATTCAAACCTTGAAAAGAATTCACAAAATTAATTAGCAAGTAACTAAAATTATTTCAACTTCAATTTTTTTTTTTTAATATCAGTTAAAAAATTTTGCCAAATAAATACATGTTTTACTTTTTATTCAGTATTTGCATATTTTATTCACTAAGTTTACTAAGGTCACTTTTCCTATGTATTTATAAAAACTAAGCTTATTGAATATTTTTTTGTTGGTGAAAAAACAACTAGTATTAATATAACAACTAGTAAACAATTAATACTGTGTTTTTATTTTAATTGTTTACTATTTATGTTATAAATGTACAGTATAATTATTTTAAATATTGTTTTACTTTATGCTTCAGTAAGATAACAGGCTTTTAGTTTTTCATATTATTTTTAAGTTTAAGTAAATACTCAAATTAATACTTATTTATGTTTCAAGTTAATACTCAAATACACCAGGTATGATTACAATCATAAATTTCATAATTGTTATTATTCCTGTATGCATTCCAACTATTTACTTTTATCTTTTATATGCATAATATATTTAAAAAGAAAAAGAAAAAAATTAGTTGTTAAAAAACCCATAAAAGCCATTACCACTAAGCGGAGTTCTTGGATGTCCTAAAAAATTCCACCATACCAATTTTCTTTTGTTACATTATTGTTTGCAGTGATGTATTGATCTGCAACTCTGATTTTGTCTTGATCTTGACAAAAACATTAGTTTATGAAAAAAATTGTAATTTATCAACGCAATATTTTCTAAGATTGCTGATGCAATTGCAGGTTTTAAACATTTTTAACACAAAGTTTAAAGTTCAAAAACATTTTATTTTTCACTGTTTTTGATTTGATGCAAAAAATATAGGCTGGAAATGGAAATTAATAATAACTTCAATGCTAGTATGGTCAACAATAGCAATATAGTCATGGTTAGTGAAGAGGACTCAATATTAAGATAACAAAAGAAATATAAAACATTTTATTCTAAAATCTATGCATTATTAGATTTGGTACAACAGAAGTTAATTTTAAGAACACTTTGTAGATATTAGTAATGCTATTGCTTCTGTTAGATTTGGTGTTTTATCAAAAACTGTTGGTATCATTAATGGTCTACTAAAGATATAATTAAAGCAGGAAACCATGTTCATAGATCAGTATTTGACTTATGAAAATTCCAGAAAATCTCGAAAAAGTATTTTATTAAAAATTGATCGTATTAACAGACAACAAAAACTTTCTTAAATTTTAAAAACGGAATTTAGATTATTTAACTTTTTACAAAAAGGAATTTCTAATATTCGAAAAAGTTAATTTGAATGAATTAAAAAGCAAAAAAAAAAAAAAGAAAATACGAAAATCGATCTTGTGAAAATTTTAATTATAGAAAACATACTTTTTTTAAATGCAAAAGTTGTCATTTAAAATTTTATGTAAAAATATATAAACTTTTTTACAAATCAATAACAAAAAACATCCAGAAATTTCTGGAAAATATAAGTTTTTTAGGGAATTCCTGGAAAAAACTCATCTATGCATGTTGAATAGGGTGGATCAATTAAAAAAATTTTTGAAATTTGATTTGCCTGAGCTGCGAATCGATGTCTTTTGGTGGAAATAGAACCTTACTTTTTTTTTTTTTTTAATTTTAATGAGTTTTAGAGGTTCCTCTTTGGATTCAAAATTTATGACGGATCCTAATATTGTTGAAATTTTTTTTCTTCTAAATTATATCAACCTGGTACTCAAAAGAAGCAGAATAATACGCTTATTTTGAATATAGTATTTGTTTTAATTTAAAACTAAAAAAAAAATAATGTCATTTTTTTCATAAAAAAAAAACCGTCTTTTTTTCACTAAAAATTTTTTTTAAATAAAATTATTATTGATAAAACAAGCATTTTTTTCTGCTTCTTTTGAGTCCAAGGTTGATACAGTTTAGGAAAAAAAAAAATTCAAAAATATTAGGATCTGTCAAAATCAAAAAATATTTTTTTACTTTCATCTTATAATTAATAGACATCGATTTGTGTCTCAGGAATATTGATTTTTAAACTTTTTTTTTTTGCTATGAAAATTGATCTACCCTAATGTTGAAGACAAAAATTTGTTGAAAACAACTTTGTGACAGCATGAATAACTTTTGTGCCAAAGAGCATGCTATAAAATATTCTAGAGTAGTGGAAAATTTAGACTATGCAAAAAGTACAATACAATTTAAAATTTAAACTAAAATTTTTTTTTCAATGCAAAAAAGATAAAATTAATAAACTTTTCAATAAAAATGTAACTTCAAATTATAATGATTATAAAAATGAACATAGTTAATTTGATGAGAACTACTTAAAAAACTTAGATAGTTTGCAATAAAAATTCATCATCAAAATTCATTAAGTAGTTATATTTTTGTTGCTATTTTAGTATTTAATATTCAAGCCATAATTTATCTTTAAAACTAAAGATAAATCTATGCATTCTGAACTCCAAGTTTTTTTATTTACAACATGCATTTAAGTTTACTCAATGATGTCATCAATGATTCATTTTTTAAATTTAATGAGCCTGAGTTCAGGAGTTTCAAAACAACTGTTAGAAAACATTTAGTTTAGATTTATTTTTAGGATAATATTTAGTTTAGATTTATTTTTTTAATATTTGGTTCATTTATTTAGTTTTTTCAATATTTAGTTTATTTATTTTTTAATATTTTATTTATTTATATAATATTTAGTTTAGATTTATTTTTAGGAGTTTTAAAACAACTGTTAGAAAACATTTAGTAGTAGAATTAGTGTTTAATAGTTGTAGAAGCAGCAAGTGCACATCAGATAGCTAATATCCAGAGACAGAAGTTTTCATAACTTTATCTAGCTGAAAAATATGTACCAGGAAAAATCCCCTCTCCCCAAAAGAAAAATCTAGAATAAAAACTCCAGGAGGATTTTACTAACTTTTTATTGAAAAAACTTAATTTTATCAATAAAAAGTAGCCATTGCTACACTATTTTACTTGTTTTATAATTTAATGTTATTACATTAAGGTAACATAGAATACACAAAGGTATTGCATATTACATTGGTGAAAGTGTTATAATAAAACTTTTATGATAATTACAATTTATTTGTTAGATTGTATTTGTTAGAATACAGGTTAAATCTTGCATAAAGTTAATTTACACAGATTTAGTATTTAAATAATTTTCTGTATAAATATACAAGCTGTATAAATACTAACACAAAAGAAAGTTATAACTACGTTAAATGCTAAGAATTTTATTTAAAATTATGTATATATGCGTATGAGAAATGTTTCGATGCAAAATTGTCACAAGAGAAATTTATCTTGCAGAAAGAAGACAAAGTTTGTTAAAATCTTAATCCGATTCCAGATTTAAACGGAATTAAAATTCGATTTTTGGGTATTTGTTTAAATTGGATCAGAAACCGGATTTAACTGAACCTAAAACAAATTATACAACAAAAACGTCTCCAGCCATCTTGGTGTGAAAAATTTTTTTTTTTGGTTTAGCATTTCACAGTTTATTTTTATTTATTTTTTACCAGAAAATGAACTAAATTTTGTAATAAAAAATGTACTTCATAAAAATATATATAAAAACAGTTATTAAAAGAATAAAAATATATAAAATAAAATATTCAAGCAATAAACATAAGAAACCTGTGATGCAGTTTTAATAAAAGTAAAAAGTTTCTCTTTTACAAAGATAAAATGAACACTTTGAACATTTTTTTAACACATTCAATATTTAAAAATATTTATTTAGTACTTACATATTATTAACTAAATTAGTTGATTTAAAATTGAAAATATATATAAACAATATTCTAAAGTTGTAAAAAATAAATTTTTACAAACATATCTATAAAGAAGCCTATTTACAACTTAACTTCATAAGTCTATTAGGCATCATTGTTTTAAAAATTTCCTTTTTTTTTTGGCATTTATTTCTTGACTTTCACATCAATATCAGGCAGTGATGAACCTTGGACCTCTTGGATACGAGCCAGAACTATAACCACTATGACATGGCTACACATTCTGTATTATTACTCATTAAATTCTTATTTTTTTATTAAGTATAGAAAACCGGATTAAACCTGGATATCAAACTTTTAATAGTTTTTGATCCAAATCTGAATTTATAGAAAAAAAGAATCAAATATCTGCTTTTTCCAGATCAGATATGTGAATTTCAGATTTTTTAAATCTGATGTTCAAAGTATTGTCTATCGGAAGCTACGATTTAAAATATTGTCCATCGGAAGCTACATTTGCCCATCATTCTGGCAGGTTGTGGATTCCATCCCAAAAGAACTTCTCTGGCTTGGAGGCCAAGAACAAATCAAGCCAATTTATTATACCATCAAATGAAGTGAATTATTCCAATCAGTGCAGAATGCCCTCACCGTATTACGGTGAGGGCATTCTGCATTGATTGGAACAAGTTGTAGTCAGAAGGGGTTATGTCTGGGCTATAAGACAGGTGAGGTAGAACTTCCCAGCCGGTGTTTTCCAAATAATTTTTAACCGGTCTTGCAACTTGAGGCATAGCATTGTCATGGTGGAAAATTATGGCCTCGTATTTGGTCACATATTCTGGGCACTTTTCCACAATTTCTCTTTTTAAACACATCAATTGTGTTCTTTAGAAATCCTCTGTGATTGTCTGGCTTGATTTTAACAGCTCATAATAGAGCACTACCTTCTGATCCCAAAAAATACAGAGCATTACCTTAGCACCATGAATATTTGGGTTCACCGTTGATGGTTGGTAAGGCTTCACATACGATTTCTTGCGCTTTGGGTTATTGTATTGAATCTTTTTTCAACACCAGTAACAATCTGATGCAAAAACGTTCAAGTAAAATTTGTGACATGCAAAATCGCCTTTCAACGTCTCTCGGCTTCAATTTTTGCGGCACCAAGCTTTTGGATGAACCCTGATGCTTTTAAACATTTTGAAATGGCTGCTTGAGTGACTTCCAATGATTTTGCAAGGTCTACTTGCGTTTGGCACAAATCTTCTTCAAGCAATGCTTCCAATTCTTCATCTTTAAAATTTTTTGGCTGTCTGGGCCATTCTTCATCTTCCAAGTTGAAATTGCCACTTTGAAACTGTGCAAACAACTTCTTTCAGCTAGAGCATGATCGCCATAAACTTCCACGAAAATACAATGACTTTCGACAGCACTTTTCTTCATATTGAAGTAATGAAGAAGAACACCCCGCAAAAACATTTTATCTGGCACAAAGTTCGATATTTTCAAATGAATAAAAAAGTTGTTGTTTATGCTTTAACCAAATGACATGAACAAGATGAGCATTGACAGTAGCTTCCAAATGAATATAATCACATATGATTGTGATGCAAAATAAAACTAGTAACGCCATCTCTTAGAAAACTGCACAAATTAAGTTACACTCTCAATATTTTTCTAAATATTAAGTTTTTTTATCATTAATCTTTCATAGCCTGCTTTTAGAAAAAATATGCCAACAAAACTAATAAAGTAATTTCTAATACTTACTTAAAAGGTTGTAACACTTCCATAAGTTCTTTGCTAAACTTACAACGTGGATTCTAAAAAAAAAAAATCATCCCCAACCTATTGTAGGCAAATTTAATAAAAATAGAAAGACTATACATTTGAATTATTAATTTTTTGTTTTAAATCTACCTCAGGACTTCCTTTCATAAAAACCATAATAGGAGCTTTCTTCACCAGTTTTGAAAGTCTAAAATTTATTAAAGCATAAGTTTTGTTATAATTTAAATTATACATATATACAGTAAATATCTATTAACGTCATTATGGATGGAATAACAATATTATTATTTTTTTATGTTTACATGTGAATGTTTTACTGTTATCATTTTTTAAAATTTTAATTCACCTCCCCAAGGCCAAGAAGGCCACAACAGTCGAGGAGACTACTTTATTTGTAGTTACAACCCTCTTCTAACTCCAAAATATGAACCTTGATGAACAAGGCCGCTGCGCAGAGAAACAAGTTGAAACAGTCTATAAGTAACAGTTAAACTTTGTAAAAATCTTACTAACAAACAGGGCTGTGGAGTCGGAGTCGCGAAGTTACTACATTTTTAGCGAAGTCGGAGTCACTAAACAAAATCGCGACTCCAACTCCTATAGTAAAACTTCTCGATATTGCACGTGCATGTACAAAACATTCGATCAACCTTATGTTCATACTAAACCTCAAAGAACATTTTATAAATTGGTCAAAAAAAACATTTTAACATATTGGTTATATTTTTTAAAGAATTCTTTTTTTTTTTTTAAAGAGTTTTTGCTTTGGAGTTGTAGTCGAAGTTACACTCAAAAAATTTTAACAACTGGAGTTGGAGTCGGAGTTGTACTCAAAAAATTCCAAGAACTGGAGTCGGAGTCGTTACATTTTTTTTACAACTCCACACCCCTGCTAATAAAGCTGTTAATCTTTTTTATAACTCACCTAGTATTTAAATCTTCATTTTGAGATAACAGCGGAAGGAGTTCACCAGTTTCTGCAAGTTCCTATAATATATATAAATAAAAGATTAAATGGTATAAAAGTTTTTGTCAACTCTTAACAATTTTAGAGTAAGGAAGAAACATTCCAGAAAATATAGTTACAATTGAGAAGTTTCTATTCATAACTCTTATCTTAAATAATTGAAACAAACAATTTAGATTTTTATATTTACTTGTAAAGAGTAATATGAAGATAATTTAAAGACACCATTTGAAACAGGAAATATACACAAATGGAATAGTGCTCTCTTTATGATAAATCAATTAACCTCATATTAGATTCTGTAGAAAATTTACTAAAGAAATGTGTCAGACATAACCTTTGTTTAGATAACTATGAATAAGACTTGATTTCAGAATTAGTGAAGTTTTTAAAACCATTTGAATCATTAAACCTTGTGGAAAATCTCTTTCGATTTTGCCATTAAGTAAACATAAAATACTACAGTTACTTGCAATCTTTGTGATTTGAATGTTATCTCCCTTGTGATTTGAATAAAATCAAAGTTTAAAGAAATGCTGCTAAAAAAATTGATCAAAGACATAAGTAATCAACCTCTACAAAAATATGTTGTATTTTAGATTTTATATACAAGAGATGAAATAAGAAAGTTTAATGGAGAATGCTTTAAACATAAGAAAGCACCAATGTGACACAGTTCAAAGTATTGCATGTCTATACAATTATTAACATCAATAAAAGAAGTTTTAACTTTAGCAACAATTACTGAAAAACAAAAAAATTTAATTTAAAAAAATTGTATTAAATTTTAAAACTATTTCATTTTCGAACAAAAGACAACTATTATTTTATAGGCATTGAAATATTTCAAAATTAATGAATGAATTCAAATAGAAGCAATGTAAGTCCTTTCAACACGAAAAATATTAGCCTTATTTGATCTTTAATTTATTGAAATAAAAAACTTTTGTCTCAATTTAAAATTGAATTTGTTTTGTTTTAGTCGAAAACAAGACCATCTTTAAAGAAAATTTTTGCAGCTAGAAGCCAGCAACTTTGTTAGACACTATCAGCTAGTTGACCAAGTTTTCATTGCAAAAAACAAGGTCAAAAATAAGCATTCCTGAGATGCAAGTGTTGTTCTATTAGTTATAACAGGAAAGTAAAAAATATTTTAGGATTTAGAAAAGTTCTTGAAGTTCTTCTGGAACCCAAAAATTTTGATAGGTTCAAAAATTAGTGAAAATTAATTAGAACTATATCAACCTGGGACTCAAAGCATGCAGAACTATACACTGATTTCAAATTCAAATTCATTAAAATTTGTTAAAAATTTCCTAAAGAAACTCTAAGAACTCGTCAAAAAAAAAAAAAAAAAAAAAAACAAGGTCATTTTTTTACTAAAAGACAACAATTAAAAAAAGGCAACACAGGTAAACATAGTTTTAAAAATTTTTCAAATCGCTTCACCCTATTGCTTATTTGCTATAACTGTCATCCAACAAGTGGCATGTTTTGAAGCATGGATTTAAACTCTACTTATCATGCATGAAAATATCAAAACCAATCTATATTAATACCAATTAGTCACATTCAAGATACATGTTCTTCAAAACTTTCAAATAATTTGCCAAATTGACAGTCTCACTTTGTTGCAAATAGAGTAAACCAGCTCAGCCATTGGCAGCAATTGCAACTCAAAACCTAATTGCTGATCATTAATTAACAGAATTGGCAGAAAGTGCAATGTATTGGGGATTTTGTTTACTGTGTTACCAACACTTTTTTGGATGTATAAGTATTTATTAATAGCAATTATTATTAGTGGGATCGTTTTAGCTAAAAAGTTTAACTTCATTAAACACAATATTAACATAACTTTACATTTTAACAATAAATGTAATAAATATGGAATGCCAACAACACTCTGTAACTTATATTCTAAATAAAAAGACTTGGCAGCTTTTAGAACTTCTGTATGTATGTATACTTCTATATACAACTAGAACAGATGTGTCTATTTTACAAAATACTAACCCTAACTATATCCAAGCCTCCTACAAGTTCTCCATTAATATAAAGCTGGGGATAAGTTGGCCAATTAGAAAACTTCTTCAAGCCTATTACAAAAAAATTTATGATAACGAAAAACTTTAAATAAAAAAATTAATAAAAATTTCTTACTACTACAAATATTTTTAGAATGAAAACTTGCCTTCCCGGACAGTATCATCAGTAAGGATATCAAAGAACGAAAACTGAATGCCATTATTTTTGAGAATAGTCACAATTTCCCGACTAAAGCCTAAGGTTAAAAAAATATTAAACCTTAACTCAATTATAGTGCTAACATTTTAACTTTTTTGATTGACAAATATAAATAATGGTTTCATAAAAGGCATGTAAAGGAAATATATTTTCTATAAGTAGATACAAAACTCTCTCTCTCTCTCTCTCTCTCTCTCTCTCTCTCTCTCTCTATATATATATATATATATATATATATATATATATATATATATATATATATATATATATATATATATATATATATATATATATATATATATATATTTATATATATATATATATATACATATATATATATACATATATATATATATACATATATATATATATATATATTTATATATATATATATATATATATATATATATATATATATATATATATATATATATATATATATAATTGATTTTTTGACAAGATTAAATAAAAATAACTACATAATTTTTACTACTAAAAGTTTCATGCATTTAGCAATCATAAGGTAAAAAATACATTTTTACCTTATGATTGCAAAAAAATATACTCTTAATAAACATCGTGACGTTCAAAAACAATTATAAAACTGTTACTATTTGCAAGCATAACAGTTTTATAATTGACAGTGCAGAACAATGTGAACTGGTGGGCCTATATATGTTAGACTCACTAAAGTAATAAATAAGACGTTGGACTAAATTGTGACGATGGTCTGATGGTACTTCATAAAACTGGATCGCAAATTGATAGCATGCAAAAAAGCATAACTAACCTACCTGCAGTTAACTTCTTAGATGTATCCTTTAACTTAAAAGAAAAAAACTCCTACCAACCTTTCAAAAATCCAAATGAATATCTACGTTTCATCCACACTGATTCCAACCATCCTTTACAAAAAATAAAGCTAATCCCCATCTCTATCAACGACAGATTATCACAGAACTCCTTAAATGAAAAAACATTAAATTTATCTACACCAGAATACGAAGATGAATTAAGAAGAAATGGCTTCATTGGTTTTAATTTAAAGTATAACCCCCCCCCCCAAAAAAAAAAAAAATAAAATAAAATAAAATAAAAAAAATGAAAAAAAAAAGAAATATAATATGGTTTAACCCCCCATATAGTAAAAGCGTTTCTACCAATGTCAGACATATCTTCCTTAACTTAATTAACAAACATTTTCTAACATCCTAGCCCCATAAGTAAACTATTCAATCGAAACACCATCAAAGTGAGTTACAGCTGCACCAAAAATATTAAAAGAATAAAAAGAAGCCAAGTTCAGAAAGACCAAAAGAATACCCACTCAAATGTAGAGACTCTAATGTTATTTATAAATGTATAGTATTCCTCCTCCCTAACACTCCAGAAAAAGTATATATTGGCCTAGCAGAAGGTGAATGGATGAAAAGATGGGCTAACTACAAACAAAAAGATGAAAAATTCAACCACCCTTTCAAAGTATATATGGCAGATAAAAAGAAAAATAACACCCGCATTAACCTGGTCAATAATTAAACAAGTCCCTGCCTACAGCAACATAACAAAAAAAATGCGTGCAACTTTTAGTAGTAAAAATTATGTAGTTATTTTTATTTAATCTTGCCAAAAAATTAATTATATAGCTCTGATATCATTCATTAAACACTCTTGCTATATTTACACATATATATTTTTGTATTCACATATATATTTTCGTATAGGCATAAAAGTTAAAGTACAATAAAAAAAGTTGTTTTTTCTTCATTAATATATTAAAATATATATAAATATATATATATATATATATATATATATATATATATATATATATAATATATATATATATATATATATATATATATATATATATATATATATATATATATATATATGTATATATGTATATAAATGTGTATGTATTAAACCATTTATGTTACGCCAAAATTATGAAATAGTTAATGCAAACTTTAAGCAGTAATTAATTGTAAAAAACTGCAATTGTTTATTTTATTATTATTTTTTTGATAAAAAAACAGATAGTTAAACTTTTTTCTACTTTTCATTTTGAAAAAGTTTTTAATTTAAATTTATTTTATGTTTAAATTAAATTTATTATTAAATATTATTTCATATTTATTATTAAATATTATTATATAATAAATTTAAATTTATTTTATTAAATTTTTAAAAAAATTTAAAATACTCTATTTTAAAACTTTTTTACTATTAAAATTTCTAAACTATGTGAAAGAGAATGATTAACTAGTTTATGAAGATTTTGTTAAAGCCAAAATGTTAACAAAAATTGTTAAAACTTTATTTTTTGATTATTAAGAAATTCACCTGTAAACATTTGTTCTCTCATTCAAAAACAACAAAAAAACAACTAAATCGTGAGAAAGCAAACATAAGACAAAATTTTGTGCTATGAGTGTTTTAAGAAACTGAATTTATGAATGTTTTAAGAAATATTTGTTTGAAATTATGAATGTTTTAAGAAATATTTGTTTGAAATTATGAATGTTTTAAGAAATATTTGCTTGAAATTATAAATGTTTTATGAAATAAGAAGGAAATATAAGTTTTAAAATAAGAAATTTTTTTTTTTTCCAATCAACATTTAAACTTGATTGATAATATTTTTTTATAACAATTTAATTTAAAAAAATTTAGATGTTAAATGATTTTTAACCTGGTTTCAAATTAAATTTAATTACAATGTGGTACTTTAAAATATGCATGACACAATTTAATTTTTTTAACAATATAAATATGTATATCGAGTAAAGTTACATTTTGCTTGCTTTACGCTTTTAAAAATATCTATATCTTCACTTTAATATATATTTTTTCGATACTTTGCTGATCTTTTGTGATCAGTATCATCAGGTATAATATACAAAACTGTTACAAACAAAAATATTAAAAAAAAAAATTAAACTGTTAAAAATACAACATCCAAAAGCATAGATACATAAAAATACAAAAAAAAAAAAAAAAAAATTAAATGTTAAATCAGTTGATTTAAGTTAGTTTTTCACTGCAATTTAAATGTAAATTACATTTTTCATCAAAGCGAAAAAAAAATCATTGCTAGTAATTACAATATATAATAGATTCTAAAAGCATAAAATTACAATGATATTAAATGTAACTAAAAAATTAAAATAAAAAAAATGTTTACTTTTACAAAAGAAACAAACAAACAAGAAAAATAAATCAAATACTCCCTCATCTCAACCATTAAAAAAACCATTGAATTTTACAAAAGAAACAAACAAACAAAAATAATGAATCAAATAATACCAAAATTCAACCATTGAAATTGGAGAACCAATAATTTATAAAACTACTACAGATACTAATTGACTGTCATAAACATTAACAAAACTACTATGGATACCAATTGTCAGTCCCAAAACACCAGAAAAATAGTATAAAAGAAAAATGTTAGTTCTGGTGCAACTGGACATTTCTACTATAACCAAACCTTCCCAGGAAAGGCGTGCGGTTTTTCGTCTCGTACGACCACGAAAACGTGTTTTAGAGATTGTGATCACAGCCGTCTGCGCAAGTTATATTACATGCATTGCTGAAAAATTGTTATAAATTTTATAACTACATAAGAAATTAAAGTAAACTTAAATAGAAAACAATAATAATAGTTTAAATAATTTGTGTGTTGTTTTTATTTTTGTTTTTTCTTAGTGGTTATTATTATTAAATTCAGTCAAAGTCAAAGCATTAAAAAAAAAAAAAAAAAACAGTTTTAGGCGTTAAAAAAGATGACTTTCCCATATTTTATGTGTTTTTTCTTTTAAAGAGGAAAGAGAAAATATGCATCATCATCTGTTTGTAAAATATACTTGCATAATTATAATGTAACAAGTTTATATCAAGAGTTAAAATATATGATCGGGATTTGCAAACTCTGGTAAAATATTAGGTCTTTAAAATTTTAGTTCATGCAAAACTGTGTAATTTATTTATATGGAGCAAATTATTAAAAGTTTGCTAGCGAGAAAGTTAAAAAAAACAAAATAAAAACAATAAACTTACACACATACATATTACAAAAGTAATAACACTAACTGTATTATAAAAGTAATAAAACAATAATAGTTTTATTACATTTATAAAACACTTATTACTTTTAAAGTTCATTATTTGTTCAAACAACATTATTAATTCCAAACATTTATTAAAGTAGAAAAGCATCTAGAAAAAACAAAGCAGATATTCAAATATTACTAAAAATTTCAGGAACTTTCACAGATCACTTAAACAACGTTATAAATAAGTATTTATAAAAAGTATAGCATTATGAAAAACATTACGTAAAAATGTGCATTAATTTTAAAATTAACCAATAAAAAATTTTTATTGGTTAATTTTAAAAATAACGCACGTTTTTACGGTCCATTAGTAACGTTTTTCGTAATGTTAAACTTTTAATACAATACATTTTCATAAAGTTGTTTGTCATGTTTTTATAAGTTACTTTAGTTTTAATATTATTTGAACATCAATTTTATTCTTCTAGATATTTTTCTACTTCAATTAAAATTTGGAAATACTAATGTTGCTTGAACAAAGAATAAATTTTAAAAGTTATAAGTGCGTTATAAAAGTAATAACACTATTATAGTGTTATTACTTTTGTAATGCAGTTAGTGACTAGAGTGTTGTTACTTTTGCAATTGTAAATTTATTGTTTTATTTATTTTTTTTTCGCTAACAAATTTAAGTTGATTCTTCCCTTAAAAACAAGGAACACGGTTTTGTATAAACTAAAATTTTGAATAATAGATATTTTTCCAGATTTTGCGATTTGCCTTCGCTTATTTCAACCCTTGTTGTTACATTAAAATTATACAAATAAATTTTACAAACACATTGCAATTTGTATTTTTGCTATCCTCTTAAAAAAAAATTAAGAAAAGGAAAATCATTCTTTTTATTGTAGACTTCAAACTGTTTTTTTTTTGCTTCACCTTATCTAATTTTGTTATTGAATGTAACTCTAAAGAAACAAAAATAAAAACAGTAAACAAATTATTTAAATTATTAATTTGTCTTTATTTTTTTCTATTTTAATCTCTTTTTATTTTGTTAGTTTTTTTTTGAAACTTTTTCAGCATTATTATAAAACTTGCAAACAGCAGTGTTCAAGTTGTCTAAAATAATATACTCGCGTGTGGTCATACGAGACAAAAAACCGCACGCCTTTCCTGAAAAGGCTTGGATAACTGTAGTTATAGTGGCTACTTCCCTGTGGAGCTTTGCAGGTGAATTTAAAAAATTATATAGATTGGCAAAATACTGTGGTTCGCAACAATAAAAGGTTTTCTTAGAAATTTATTGTATATTCTATATGTTTTATACAATTTTCATAATGTATCATTACCCTAGTATTATATATTATCATAAATATTATATATTAGGTGGTTTGATTACTAAAAATTAAATAGATTATGTTATATACTAAATTAAAAGGTTAAAAAATAAAGCCAAAATAAAAAATGAAAAAGAAAAATTATGTAAAATTTCTGAAAAAAACATAAAGAAACTGACAGTGGTATAAAGAAATTTATAAAATAATTATATTTCTTTCTCATTATAATGGACTAGAAATCAAACAATGACCTTCAAAAATTTGTTTTTTAAATGACAGTTGCTATTACACATTATGACTTTTTTTTCTTAATAAAATACAACTCAACATAACTTAAGTCTACATCAAATAGTTCTCTCTTTAAGGTATGCTTATAAGTTACATTAAGTTTTTAAAAGTAAACACCATATTATTTTAACTTGTATATTTCTCAAGTTATATATTTCTAAAGACATAGTCTTTACAAGCATGCAAAATTTTTAAATAATATTTACAACTGTGAACATACATAATGTAATACAACTGTGAACACACTAATATATGTAATACAGTGTGCACACTAAAGCAACAACTTTGGAGAAAAACTCTTTAGAGATTTTTAATTTATGAATACATTTTACAATTTGAGTATGGTAGAAAAATTTACTTTTTAATTCTGAGCCATTGGGCTTTCTATTTAACATAAAAATTATTAAAATAAATTCAAATAATCAAAGTTTGTAATTTTTTTATTTCTTGCAACCATGAATCATATTTTATTGCTTGCAACCTTGAATCATATTTTATTGGTTTCAGACTTGAATCATATTTTATTGTTTGCAACCTTGAATCATATTTTATTAAAAAAAATTTTTTTTTTTAATAATCTTACCACACTCAGGCGCATCTGGCTCTCCTTTCATAAAAAGCATGCAAAATGACTGATTTATCAGGTTTTTTAAACGATCTTCCAAGTTCTGAAAACAAAAATTAAAAAATTAACAGAGATTTAACTTACAAATTTCAACAGTGCAAATTTTTATTGTTTTAAATTTAAACAGTGCAAATTTTTATTGTTTGTATAATCTATAACTATTTCACTGTAAAATGATAATATTAAAAACTGAAAAAACTAAAAATTAAAAACAATTTAATCTGTATAAAATATATTAACATATTGTAATTAACAGACCTAATTTTATATATATAAAATTTAAAATTATAAAAAAAGTAACACATAAATAAATAAAAAATACATTTTTATCGGAAGCAGCAGAAACTTCTGAAGCAACAACAGGACTAACAAATGAAGTCACATGGTGTTTAACTTTTTTTGTTAAACTTGCTGCATCAGCACCTTCGATTTTATCAATAACCTTGGAGTTCTAAACCAATTCACACATGCATACATAGATACATAAATAGATACATACATACATATATACATAAATACATACATTTAAAATCATAATCTATAAAATACAATAATATCTCCATTATTAAAGATAAAGGAGAAATTTATTTTTTGCCTACACTTTGTTTTCTTTATTTGCAAAAATAAAGAAAATAAATTTTTTTTTATTGTAAAACAAAATCTCAAACTATTGATTTCCTAATGCAGTCGCAGGGTTGACCTGCTCATGATGCAGAACCGCAAGAACCTAACCACAAAAAACATAAAAAAAGAAAATAACCACAAAACATAACAACACTTTCATATAAGAAAAAAATAAAAACTTTCAATCTTTTTAGCTGAACCACTCAATTTAAACTCCAAAGAAACAGAATTCTTGCACAACAACCACAAGAGAATTCTTCCGAAACAAAAAATCCAAATGAATAAAATATTTTATAAATTTCAAAACTATTTGCTCAGTTTAACACAAGTTTTTTTTTCACTTTGATGAAAAATGTATCTTTACATTTATGTTTCAGTGTGTCGATTACATTTATGTTTCAGTGTGTTGATATTGAAGATAAAAAATAAGATTTCTATTCAGTTTCTAATCACAACACAAAAATGTTCAAAAGAATTAAGAAACAGTTTACTATCATGAAATTTGAAACAATAATGTTAAATTGTTACTCATACATTGTATAAGTAAATTTTTTGTTTCAAAAAACAAGGAAATATAAGTAAACACTTATATTTACACTACTAACTTTTTATAACATTTATCATAAAAAATAACATTGATATTTTTTAAAACTTCTTGTGCTACAAAATTTTATCTTAAACAGACATCTTGTAAAATATAAGTAATAACTTATATGTTTACAAAAGACGTCTGTTTTATGTGCCTCTTTTTGATTCAACTGCATTTTCTCTTATTATATTTTAACCCTTATAAGAATATTTGTTGTGGATTATGTTTAATGAATGTTAATTAATTACAGGTAGTTTATGATTCTGTAAAGGTTCTGCCTTAAAAGAAAACTAAAACAACCAAAAACTTTATTAACAAAAACTCAATATTTTAATGATATTTAAATTATATGTAAAATAACCTATGCAAGTTGATCAGGTGACATTTACCTTTTATATAGTAGTAGCACCTCTTATTGTGCTAACCTAATAACATGCAGAGACACATCTTAACCATCTCTTATGTAAATAATAGTTACAATGTGACTTTTTATAATATTTATCATTCTGATCAAGATGCAACACAAATATATACAAACACTTTGCAAACATAAAAAATTGCTTTAAATTAAAAAAAAAAGTTATGGTCAACAAGTATCTTCAAAATAACCCATAATTTAGTCTATTATTATGCTTTTCAAAGTATTTTATACTATAAATGTAAATGTAATTACCCAAAAAAAACTAGATCCCACACACATAAAACTAGAGCACAAAAAGTTAAAAAGTTTCAACGTAATGAATAAATTTTTATTTTTTTTAATTATTAAATATTATTAAGTCACACTATAACATCAACCCAAGTAATTAGGAAAAATGTTGGAGGTCAGCATCAGGTCGGCTAAAAAAATTAATACAAAGAAGTTATCATAAAACATAGAAACAAGATCGACCATTTTTTTAAACAGTTAGGTTGGCATTGCCAAATGCCGATTCTAACTCTAAGGGCTGCTTTAATATAATATTCTAAAACAGAAAAATTGTTTTATAAAAACTAACAACCTTTAGCAGAATAAATGTAGGCACAGATTCGACTTCATACTGCTGGGTAATTTCAGGTAATTCTTCTGCTTCAATCTAAATATCAATTTAATAACTTTTGAATTATAAAATTAAATGTTTTAATGTCAACAAATTTATTTATCATAAGAAATAAAAACAATCCAACATTTATCACAAAATTACTTTTAAATATTGCATAAATATCCAAAACATAAATCATTATATGGGTAATATTTAGAAAACCTGATCAAAACAGATCCTTTGACACTATTATTTGTACCAGTTGCAGTGAGAAATTTTTTATAATTTTAAGCAATAAATCAATACATAAAACTTTATATAAACTAATAATAAAACACTATAGTCAATTAATAAATGAAAACAAAGAAAAGTAGTAAAAGTAAATTCTACTTTAAATCCAAATCAGTTATTCCTAAAAGTATATCCATTATTGTTGTTAAACTGAGTTTACTAAAAATGACTAATCATAAAAGTATGAAATATTGTGGGTCTGAAGAAAATGCTAGATGGCTTGAAGATAAAAAATCATTGTTCAAAAAATAACCAGATTAATTTAAATAAACAGTTTTTCTTGCTAAACTTATACTGATCAAAAATAGTTAATTTTAAAAAAAAAAATTTAAAAATTTTAATAGCTTTCTTATCTAATTCTCAGGGCTGCTTAAATCCAGAGTTGTTAACAAGGCCAAAAACCAAGGCCACACATTACAAGACCAAAGCCAAGACCAAGGTTAAAAATTACAAGGCCAAGGATAAGGCCAAGGCCAAGAGTTTTAAGGTCAAGGCAAAGATTAAGAGTTTCAAGGCCAAGGCCTATGCAAACATTTTCAAGACCAAAGACTTCATTTTTTGCCTTATGTTAAGGCCAATTATTAATAAAACAGTAAGTAGCAAGTGTTGTGACAATAAAACCTCATTTTGTAAAAATAGACCAAGGTTATTTGCAGAATTCAACGAAATCATTAAGAAAATATATACTTTTTTTTAAGGCCAAGGCCAAAACAATCAAGCCCAAGGCCAAAATTTTATGCATTTTTAAGGCCAAGGACTAACAACTCTGCTTAAATCTAATGACCACTAATGACCGCTGTTTGTGACATTTTAAAAAAGCAAATTGTTTGATTGTTAAACATCTTAATCACTCTTGTTTCTTTTAGCTATTTCTTTCTCTTCTACAGCTCTCTTAACATGTTCAATTGAAATAATTGTTATTATAAATGTTTTTAAAACATTTAAATTAAATTTTCAACTTATTTTTAAATTTAATGAAGAGTTGGTTGATAACTTCAAGCTAGTTAGTAAAGTTTGAGCATGATAAACCAAGAATGCATTACTTTGTTAATAGACAACATTTAACAAGAATTTGCCACAATGGTCATTAGTGTTTACTTTTTGCTTGCTGTTTGCATACAAGATGCACATGTATGCAAAGAGTCTAGCTTAACTGTTTTTGAATTTGGTGGTTGAGACAAAGATTTCTACAGTAGGTTAAAACAAGTATAATAATCAACTGGAAAATGTGTTCTGCGTGCAAGTTAACAAATAGTACTTGCAGTTTAAGTTTATCTATCAATAATTTTTTACAGTCCAAAATTGAGGATTTTTGAGATTGTTATGCGGTTAATACAAAACACAATAAAAATTTTAAAAACTATGCATAAATAAGAATGATTTGGCATTAAAACGCAATGAAATTTTAATGCAACAAGTGATAATCTCTATAGTATCAGGCACAATATCATTCTAAAAAGAGTTACAACAAAAGCTTTAGATTTAATAAAAAGATATTGGACACAGTGTCACAAAATTCAAATTAACTTTTTAAATTATTTTTTATTTAATTTTTTATTTTAATTAACATATAACTCTAAACTATGTGTTACAAAAAAAAATTTTAATGCTCTAAATCTACTCTAAAACAGAAGATACTATCCGTAACTGGTTAAGCTTACTGAAAAACAAAACAAAATTATTTCAACATATAAAGATAAGTTTAAATATTTCATTAATGTTCTAAAACATTAAACTTAAGAAGGTATCAAACTTAAAAGGGTATCTAACTTAAGAAGGTATCTCACTTAAAAAGGTATCTAACTTAAGAAGGTATCAAACTTAAGAAGGTATCAAACTTAAGAAGGTATCTAACTTAAGAAGGTATCTCACTTAAAAAGGTATCTAACTTAAGAAGGTATCAAACTTTAGAAGGTATCTAACTTAAGAAGGTATCAAACTTAAGAAGGTATCTAACTTAAGAAGGTATCTAACTTAAGAAGGTATCTAACTTAAGAAGGTATCTAACTTAAGAAGGTATCTAACTTAAGAATCTAACTACAAATTTCAAATTACTAAGTATTCTTATGCATAATTGTTTAAAATGCATGCTTGTTGTTAAAGTCAATTAAACACAGGGTTGGCACCCAAAAACCCAAACCCAAAAACCCACCAAAAACCCAACTTAATAGGTTTTTGGTCTTTGGTAACCCAACTTAATGAGTTTTTGTATTTATAATATTTTTATTCATAAATCAATTTCCATTCACACTCAAGATTTGATGCTGCTCAAAAATTGTTATAAAAACAAGAAGTTTAGTGAATCATAAATGAGATTTTATTTTATTTGGAGTAGAAATATTCAAACTTAAAGGTTTAAAACAAAGTTAAAACAACTTAGTCATCAGCAATTGTTCATCTTGACCTTAATGTATGTAAATTCGTACAAGCATTTTTGCTTTTCCTCTTCCTAAAAGATTTCTAATTTTGGTTGGTATCACTCAATATGGTCACTTCATTCTACCCACTAGCATAATTTCTTCCCTCTAATTGATACTTTGAGATGTTAATGTCAAATAAAGACGTATAACTCAATTTCATTTTAAATTTGACTAAAAAGATAACTCAGTTTAAAAATAAATTTATATTAGAAAAAAATGCAATCTAATTATAAATTAAGCTTTTGTATAAGAAAATATAACTTTAAAAAATGAAAAATTGCTACTGAATAACTATAAATTTATCAAACTTTGTTATAAACTTTGATAACTTATCACCTAAGATTTTTTAGGTCTTGACTCTGAAACTGATGTATTGCTAAATACTTCTACGGAATTCTTAGCGTTTCCTTTTTTCTTACTTCTGAATTTATCAAAATGGATCTTAACTCTCACCCTATTTCACCTTATTAACCTACAGATTTGTACACAACTTAAGTAAGAACCCAAAAACCCAATAACCCACCCAAAAACCCAGTTTTTGGAAAGTAAAGAGCAAGCACGATAAAGAGAAGCAACATTAGCAGATGCTAATTTAGCAATCGATTGTATATATGGTTTCCATGAAAGGTCAGTAGTAAATAATAACCCAAGAAGACCTAAAGAAAAGGACTCAGTGAGAGGGTTGACTCAGTGAGAGGAAAGATCCTTAATGTAGATGAAAATAAAACAGGACCAAGGATAGAACCTTAAGGTACCCCAGAAGTTACTGGAAATGAAGAAGAGTGTTGGCTTTCGAGGATGACTTTAATAAAACGGTTAGAAAGAAACAATTTGATAATCTCAAAAACCTTCCAAGATACGCAAGCATATAAGCTTATAGAGAAGACTAACATGCCAAACTTTGTCGAAAGCCTAAGATATGTCAAGAGCAATAGCCCTAGCCTCTCCACCTCCATCTAATGCACAATAATCCCTTTCAGTCACAGCAGTTAGCTGTCAAATAGCTTGTCTGACAGCAAGCTATTTGACTTGATGGGATGTGAGAAATTTGTTTATCAAAGACCTTGCTAATAACAGAAAGAAAACTGATTGAACAATAATTAGATGATTAGGGTTGTTAGGAAAACGAGTCACAAAGTTAACTATCTGAATAAGAGATTGAGAAATGTAGAAATTATAGGATTTAGTGCCAGCGGGGTCAGTGGCGTTAGAACCAAGCCATTTAATGTGATGAGCATTAAAGTCACCAAAAGCAAATATTGGCAGAGGGGTAAAAAGAAAGAGCATAGTCAATTTGATCAGAAATTATATCTAAAAGAGTGTAGTCTTGGGAAGGAGAATGATAAAGAACAAATAGAAAGGTGAGTGAAGAGGGGCTAAGCGGAAGCACATTAAGGAATGCTCAAAGAATTTGAACCTGATTTCACAACAAATAGGTGAATTGATGTGTGCGTATACCCGTAAGCCAAGCATGTGACTATTGGAGTCTTTGTGAATCAAAAGATAATACCCATCAACAATGAGATTAGAGGAAGGAATGTTGCTTCGCAGATCACCAATATTAGTAAAAAAAATATTAAAACAGGTGATGGTCATGGTTTTATATGTTTAATATTTTGATTTACTTTTGGAATATTTAAGTTTAAAGAGAACTTTAGTCATTAATAGATAGAGCACGCCCTCCCAAGCTATGAGCTATGCAATTTTCTCAGTTCTGTTAATTAAAAGTCATAACATAGGGCTCTTTATGTGGCCTCGACAAAATGCACCAAAAGCAAAAACAAGTACACCATCCCTGTTTATGCTTCATCACACACAGCACTGTTAATATGCTGATATTTTGCAGCTGTTGATGGAATCAGCTCTCTAAGTGCTTCTACAGAGTTCGTGAAACTTTACTATCAATCGGCCTCAGAACCATTAAATTGAGTTTTAGAGCTGTACCCTTATTAGAAGATAGCGGGTAGAGTTGCATAACCACTATCAAGGAGGCATAAGTAAAAACCTATGAGTAAAGTCAAGAAGTTCCAGAATTCAGCAACCTAGGCAGTAAAAAATGTAACACAGGTTTATATCTATGCCAGCCTATTAGATGAAGAAGAGGGCTGGTCAACAGAACTATTCTGCTTACCTCTAACACCTTTGCCTAGGAGGCCTCTGACAAGACAATAGCTGGATGCAGTTAACATCTGCTCAAGATTAGTATTTTTATTGAGACAGCATCTCTAGCCTTTACTCAAAATCTCACAACAAGGCCTGATATCGAATACTGTTGTCATACTTGAGCTTAACCTTCAAGTGACATTTCTCTTTTGGACAAGATGAAAAACACTTTGTGAATCTAGTAGACCTCTAGCTGATAGGCTTTACCTGTAACACTATCATAAGCATGGAGCTATATTTACGCCTCAAACTATATATTATATATGAATAGTAACATCCTTTTACTGTAACATTCCTTTATGCTCACAAAAATATTTACTTGCCTTGCTTTTATTCTGTAAAGATTGCTAGAAAATTTGAAATTTTTTACTGTCTAATTTTTCAGATTCATAACTTACAGCTTAATTTCACACCTTTTTAACCTTATTGTTTTCATGCACTTTATTTCTACTATTTTCTTTCTATTAAATCTCAACATTCATTATATTCTTTGTTCTTATTTATTTCCAATTAAGCACCTTCAAAAGAGATCATAATCAGGTAAAAGATCCTAATAAGGAAAATGACAATAAAATCAATTTAAAAATTTATTCTCCACTATTTTTATTGTTCAAGATGCCTACAATTTTATTAATCAAACATTTTTTATTCTTTCAGTATGTTTCTAAAGATGCTTAATATTGTAGCAAATAAAACTTTTTTATGACTTTACTTAAAACAAAAAAAAATTTATTAGCAAAAATTAAAATAAAAAATAATAATATAGCCTAAAATAAAAAAATGTTACATTTGACTTTCCAATAAGATTTATAACTTTATCTAGTAGCTTTAAACATTAAAAATTCCAAAAAAACTTCAAAACATACAAATAAATAGTGCTATAGATATTTAAAAAAATATTAATAAGCAAATAACAATAAAGAAGTAATCATAACAGATAGATTTAATAGTAACATTGTGTTTTGAAATGCTCTGATTTCTAAAATATTCTTTAAATTTATTATATCAAAAAGATTGATGATGCAAAATTTTAATATAAACACACACACAAACAAAAAAAACTCACTCTTATAAACAGTGCATGTTGAAAATCTTTAGCAAGTTGAATAAAAACATCATTCATTTGCTTACATTCAGCAGCCCATTCAGCTTCAAAATGTATTACAACCACTTGGCTAAATAAAATTACAACATTGTATAACAAAAAATACATTTAATTATGAGGGCCGTAACAGTGATTTTTCTTTTACACCCATTCCTTAAATGGTTAGTAGTCTTAAAAAATCTTAAAAACAAAAATATTTTTAGTATTTTGGTTTTAAAAAAAAAAAACTATTTGAGAGATTTTTCTAAAAAACTATTAAAGAGATTTTTGTAATTTTTCAAAACAATGAAGTTAATATAATAATTTACTTATTTCAATAAACTTGAAATCATCTGCTGGATCTTTCATTTAGTTACTTTTTTTGAATATTTTTCTTTTTTAACAAGATTTCTTTTATAATTGAACAGTAACTTTCGATAATTGGATGCTTAAGATAATTCTAATTCAATTAAATAAATCCTAAGAGGTAAACAGATTCTATCTGTTGACCAGCCTTAAACCCTTCGTTTATCTATTAGGCTGGCATAGATGTATTTATAATACATTGTTTCCAGTTTAGGATGTTGATTGCTTTATCTTCTTGATGGGTTTTGTTTGTGTCTCTGTTTTTATGACTAGGCAACTCATTCTATTATCTCTTAATGTGGGTACAGCACTAAAACTCAGTTTTATGGTTCTAAGGCCAGCTGGTAGTCAGGTTTCCCGAACTCTGTGGCAGCTCTCAGAGAGGCTGATTCTATCAACAACTGAAAAATATCAGAGTACTAACAGTGCCATGTTGTGCATGGATAGTGTCCCGATTAGAACTTTTGGTGTGCATTGTTGAGGCCACATTTGGAGCCCTTTGTTATGGCTAAGGGCTTATTAATAGTAATGAGGCAATTGCTTGGACTATTAAATAGTGTACTGAGTACTATCTATGCTTTGAGTCAAGCTCTTTAAAAAACGTATAAATGAATAAAGTACCAAAAACTATAAAACACAAAAAATCATCGTCATCACCAAGTTCTCTAAACCTTTTCCTAATCATTTACTAATATTCGTGGTCTTCGAAGTAAATTTTCTTCTGTTGAGTCTCTTGCAAAGTTCACCATACCTATTTGCTCTTTGTGGGACTAGTTTGAGTTCAGCTGTTTCATCTTGTGATTTTAGTATTGATGTTTATCTTCCTTTGATTCGTAAAGACTCTAATAGTCACATGCTTGGCCTGGGCATTTATATTCATAAGAATTTGTTGGGAAACTAGGTTTGAATCCACAGACTATTCATTTATGTGCTTTCGTTCAGCATCACTTCACTCTATCGCCTTTCTCTTTGTTCTATATTGCTCTCCTTCGTCTCAAGACTGCACTCTTTATGATGTTATTTTTAATTGAATAGATAAAGTCCTCTCTCTGTATCCATCAGCCAATATTGTTGTTCTTGGTGACATTAATGCTTATCACACTGAATGGCTTGTGTCAGTGACTTTGAAGGCATTAAGGCCCACAACTTTTGCATCTCTCAATCTCTAACTCAAATAGTCAACTTTCCAATTTGCTTTCCAGACAATCCGAATCATTTACCTTCTCTACTCGACTTATGTCTTGTTTCTGATCCTAGTCAGTACTCAGTTTATCCACACTCACCCTTAGGTACTTCTGATTACCGTTTGATCTCTCTAAAACTATGATCTCATTCTTCTTCATCATCAGAATCCCCCTATTTTCGTACATCATACAACTACCTTAAAGCTGACTGGGACTCTTTCCGTAATTTTCTTCGTGATGGCCCTTGGGTAGAAATCTTTTGTCTTCTTCTTGACAAATGTGCTTCTTACATAACTTTGTGGATTCAGGCTGGCATGGAATTCTTTATTCCCTCTCGACAATTCCAGGTCAAGCCTCACTCTTCTCCATGGTTGGAAAAGAGTGGGTCTTGACCTAGAATCAAATTAATTCTCCAGAAATCAGACGTTTGTTTACCATTGCTAAAAATTATTGTAAAAAAGTTTTGCCTAATGACAAAGCTTGCTATTCTTAGGTCATAAAATCTTGTATTTCATCACAAAAATTAGGTTTTCATGACTTCTGGAGAATCTTTAACAGTATCAATAATAAGGATAAATCTATTATTCCATCTCTCTTGTATGGTTCAGACTTTGTCACCTCACCTAAAGACAAAGCTGAATTGTTTGCTAAGAACTTTTCATCAATATCATATCTTGATTTCACTATGTGTTCTACCTGATATTACAGGTTGATCTATTGCTCAACATTCGTATCACTCCAGCTTCTGTATTAAAAACTTAAACTCTTAAACAGCTTGTGATCAAGACAACATACCTGTTGTAGTCTTGCAGAAGTGTTCTCTTGAGCTGTTATTTATCCTTTTAAAACTATTGAACAAGTGCTTATCAGAGTCTTGTTTTCCAGCCGGCTGGAAAGCAGTATCTGTTATCCCTATTTTTAAAAATTCTGGAGAGCGATCTGAATTGTCCAACTACCATTCCATTAGTCTTTTTCCTATCATAAGCAAGGTTTTTGAATTTTTAATTAACAAACACTTTAATTCTCTTCTTGAATCTAATAACTTACTTTCTGATCATCAATATGGATTTCGATCTTCTCGATCTACGGCTGATTTGCTAACAGTAATAACCGATAGGTTTTATTGTGCATTAGATAAAGGTGGAGAGGTTAAGGCCATCGCTCTTGACATTTCTAAAGCTTTTGATAAAGTTTAGCATACTGGTCTTCTTCATAAGCTTTTTGCTTAAAATTATTGAGTCCTTCCTTTCCAATCATAGTATAAAAGTTGTCCTCGATGGACAGCACTATTCTTCATATCCTGTAACTTCAGGGGTTCCTCAAGGTTCAATCCTTGCCCTATACTCTTTTTAACTTACATCAACGATCTTCCAGATATTTTGATTTCTAAGATGGCATTGTTCACTGATGATACTACCATTTATTCTTGTCATGATAAGTAGCCAACACTCTATGATTTTCTGGAGGGGGCATCTGAGCTTGAAAAAGATCTCACTTCTGCAACAGCATAGGGCACACAGTGGCTAGTGAACTTTAGTTCAGACAAAACTCTTTTTTTTTCAGCCAATCGTTATCGCCACAGGTAATGGACTCGATGAGTCATATATGCTTCATCTTATAGGATTAACTCTTACTTTCAATCTTTCTTGGAAACGGTATCAAATCCTTTGCAAAATTAGCATCTGCTAAGGTTGCATCTCTTTATCAAGCTCAGCACTTTCTTACTCTGGATTCTATTCTTTATCTTTATAAATCTTAAATCTGTCTTTGTATGGAATACTGTTGCCATATTTGGGGTGGATCTTCTAATGATGCCTTTTTTCTTTTAGACAAGGTGCAAAAATGCATTGTAAACATAATTGAACTTGTTCTTGCAACCAACCTCCGACCATTATCACATCGTTGTAACGTTGCTTCTCTTTTTTTTTTCTACAAATACTATAATAAGCACTACTCTTAAGAGCTAGTGTCTCTTGTGCCATTTACTAAAATTTATTCTTGTGTTAATCATCATTCAATTAAGTCTTATCCTTTTTCTGTGACTGTTTTTAAGTGCGCCAAAAAACTTTTATTTGTCTAGTTTTTCCTCGAACATCAGTTCTTTGGGATTCACCTTCATATAACTTTCCTGATTCATTGATTCATATAATTTTCAATCTTTTAAGTTGTCTATCAATCGTTATCTTGCTTTACAAATTTCGTCTTTTCTCTTCCAGTAACAGTAAGAGTTGGAATATATTCTTCTTTAGGTACAAATTTGACATTATTTTGTTGTTTTTCTTTCAAATAAATACTTAAAGAAACGCAAATCTGCATCAACGGATCAACAGTTAATGAGTAATATATATATGATGTATTTTTTAAACCAGATGAATGGATTGCTTGCCGTATAAGAAATTTGAGAGCAAATTTTTAAGTCTGAATATCCTTGAGTTTTTTTCTACATTTTGATTGATAAAAATAATGTTATTCTGGGAATTGTAAAAAGTTCTTTATGCAGTAGATTTTATTTTCTTCAATTATGCACAACTTTTCTTGATTTAAAAGTTTTTTATAGCTTTTTTAAATAACAAATTACTCAAATTATTCCATCAAAAGATAATTATGGAGTTTTTTATAATATGCTTTATATTCTTGTGAACTAAGTACTATAACTGGTACTTTTCCTATCAAAACTTGGCTGCATAAGAATTTTCCACTACCAGCATTTCTTTTAATAGATTGAGTTTGTTTATATTGCTGCAAAGTAAATCTAACTGAGGACCAAGAATCAATAAATTTAGTTGTGAGGAAGAGGATTTTTGACGAAAAATTTTAAAACATTTTTCTATTTAAATATATACACATTTTAATCCAATAAAAATGATAAACAATACTTGTTACCTTTAGCGTCAACAAACAACACAGTTTTTAAATGCAAAAAAATTTGTTAAGTAGTTTTTATCAGACGCTGAGACAAGATATTCTAATATTGAGAGTGAAGCGTTAGCTATTGTATGGTCTGCTCACAGAGCTAAGCATTTTTTGTTGGGTAGAAAATTCAAATTAATATCAGATCAAAGGCCATTAGAATTTATATTTGATAGTAACAAAGAATTGCCCGAAGTCACATCCGCTAGAATTTTAAGATAGGCCATTCAAATGATGGCATTTGACTATGAAATAAGCTACAAGAAGGGAAAAAACATTCCTCATGCTGACGCATTATCGAGATAGTCCTTTCTACCACAAGATGAAGAGAAGGACCAAGAAACATTCATACACTTAGTCAAGTCAGATATCGTGAACCTTAAGCAAATAATAAAAGTAACAGAAAATGATAGGGTATTGATGGATATCAAAACCAGAATTAGCAAAAATAATTGGAGCAGATGCTCAGTAACAGAAAGACCCTATAAATCTATTAGGAATAAACTGACTATCGAGAAAGGAATTGTATGTAATGGTGATCTTATTGTACCTCCTAAGACAATGAGAAAGATCTTCATCAAATCGATCCATGATGATATACATTGTGGCATAATGCAAACGTGATGTAGATTAAAATTGGAAGCCTGGTGGCCTGTCAAGATGTTGAAGAATATGTGAAAAACTGTGAAAAATGTGCCGAAATAAAAGTGAAGAAGGAAAGGACATTACATACATGGACAAGTGAAAATAAACCTTGGTGTAGAGTACATATGGATCATGCCCATGTACAGGGTATCAGACTGTTTTTGATTTTAGTAGATTCTTTTTCTGGATGGCCGGAAGTTATTAAGGTAAATAACCGTGAAGCGGCCACTGTAAAGGCAATACTATAAAGTGTTTTTTTCAAGAAATGGAGTTCAAGAGGTTATAGTATCCGACAATGCTGCGGAATTTCATGATACCACCTTACACCAGTGGCTAAAGAAAATCGGTTGCGTGCCTTATAAGACTCCACCTTACCACCCTCAATCTAACGGAGCAGCTGAAAGAATGGTAGAGACAGTCAAGATGGGTTTAAGAGCTTATTCACTGGACAAAGGTTTATTATGCAGATATTTAAGCAGAATGCTTTTAAGTTACAGAACAATACCTCATGCAGGAAGATCAAGGAGTCCTTCCGAGATGATGGGAAGGCAGTTGAGATCCCCTCTCACCATGAGTTTTGAAAGTGGAACACCGTTATGGTACCGCTAAAAACCAGATCCCAAACCTGAACCTGCTTCCTTCATCTCTCAGGCAGGTCTAAACACTGCGATCATATTAAGGAATAATTCTTCGGGTACGTTAGCAAACTGTGACCAAATAAACAAACGCCTAAATGATCCTAGTATACTTATGAATAATGAAGACAGTATGCGGTATGATCATATCAATAATGAGAAAATCGATCCTTGCAATAGTGATAAATCTGATATGCCCGAACTATGTGTTATTAAAGGAGAGCCTAACCAGGATCAAAGAAATGCACGGTTGACAAGGGGGCAAAAGCCAATATGTTTCAGGGATGTGAAGCCGTGAACCTTAGTCATATGCAGACAAATAGGAACAATGTTTTTATATATATATACATACGTGGCTATATTAAAATCTATAATAAAGATGGCTTACTTATAAGAATATATATATTTAAATATAGTACAGTGTTTTATTAACGACACAACACTATTGATGTTGCACATTTTGTTTGTTGATACAAAAAGTTGTTACATTAAAGGTTTAACAGATATAAAATACATAGTAAACATGATGAGTCATATGGCTCCTATTTAGTTAGTATATAACAACTTATTTTTGTCCTGTTCTTTTAAGAGCATTGAACACTTTATTTTGTACATTATATCAACCCTTGGAATTAGGAAAAATGAGGTCGGCAATAATTTGCAGACCTCAGATACTTTTAGGTCAGCAGTTAGGTCGGCATTCGGCAATGAGAGTTGTTATATATAAATATAAATATATATATATATATATATACATATGAATATACATACATACAAACATATTATATACGTATATGTGTGTGTGTGTATATATATATATATATATATATATATATATATATATATATATATATATATATATATATATATATATATATATATATGTATATATATGTATATATATGTATATATATATATATATATATATATATATATTTATATTTGCTAGAGCTATATTACCTGTTTGCTGACTTGAGTAAACTTTTCAGAGAAGAGTCATCGTAGCATATATGTAAATTTTCAACCATTTTGAAAGTGTTAAGTAATAATTTTTGCTTTACTAAAGAAATCTTATACATTTTTAGTATGATAGTGTAAATATATATATATATATCTATATATATATCTATATATATATATATATATATATATATATATATATATATATATATATATATATATATATATATATATATATATATTTAACAATAAATATATACTTATATATATTGTATGTATGTATTTAATATAGTATGTTAAATATATATATATATATATATATATATATATATATATATATATATATATATATATATATATATTTATACACCTACAGGCCTTGTTAAGAAGCGTTGTGGCATTTGAATTTTGCATACAAAATGGCGATTTTACCTACGTGTCAAGTCATTTAAATTACGCCAAAACCTTTTTTAATTAGATTATTATTTAAACAGTCTTCTAAAATAGTTTTTTAGGCAGTAATTAATTGTTGTAAAAAACATTTGTGTTTTTTACAACAATTAATTATTGCCTAAAAAATACTTTTTTCTTTAATTAAAAAACAAATAGTTAATTTTTTTTCTATTTTCCTTTTTTTTTATATTTTTAACTTCAACTTATTTTATTATATTTAAATTAAATTTATGATTAAATATTAACAAATATAAATTTATTTTAAATTTATTTAAATGTTGTAAAATGCTTTGTTTTACAATTGTTTTTTATTGCTAAAATCTCCAAACTATATTAAAGAAAATTTTTTTTATAAAAACTAAATTTAATTCAAGTTACTTGAAAATGTTCATATTACATTTAACTATTTTTTTATATTTATTTATAGTTTCAATTCAACAATCTTTTTTTTAATTCTGCTTTGAAAGTGCTAATATACTAAAGTGCTTAATGCATTTATAACTGTATATAAATGAATTCCCAGATAAACTATAATCAAGCCTATAGGTGAAATTTATGAAATAATGATTTTTTTAGTTTTGAAATTGCATTTTAACAAAAAAATTTTCCTTATCATTAATTTTTTGAATTGATGAATATCGATTAAAAATGATTAACTAGTTTATGAGTAGTATACGAAGATTTTGTTAAAGCTAAAATGTTAGAAAAAAAAATTGTTGATAGTTTTTAGTTTCTGATTATTAAGAAATTCAACCTCTTTAAAAAAACACCTCTTTAAAAAAACACAAAAACATAAGATAATTGTTTTAAAAAAAAAAAAATGTATCAGTATAAGTTTTTTCAAGAATTTTCTTTTTTTCAAACAACATACTTAAATTTTATTTTGACATAAAATGATTTTTAATGTGGTTCCAAGTTAAATTAAAATACAATGTGGTACTTTAAAATAAGAAACTGATGTAATTAAACTTTTAACAATGTAAATATAGTTATTGAGTAAAGTAACATTTACTCGTGTTACGCTTTTCCGCTATGTAACAAAATCTCATAACAAGGCCTGCATATATATATATATATATATATATATATATATATATATATATATATATATATATATATATATATATATATATATATATATATATATATATATATACGAAGAATGATGAATGAATTGATTGCTTCCTCATCCCAAACCCTCAGTCGATGTAGCAGCACTCCACTGCGAGTCAGGCTATTTGTCAGTCGATGTATGTACTGAAGCCCCCAGCAGCAGGCTATTTCAGTATGACGTCAGATTGCTTACCTTAGTAAGCAATACTATTTGTATATATATATATATATATATATATATATATATATGCATACTTTAACAAGCAGTCTGATGTCATACATTGTACATACATTGACTGACTAGTTTGGGAGAACATGCAAGGAAGTACCGCTGTATCAACTAAGGGTTTGGACAGCAATTATTCTTTTCATTATTCTTCAGCATTTTTCTACTTTTACCAAAAAAATTATACACACTATAATAAACATATGAATTTTTAAATAAATGAAAATTGAACATTGTGTTCCCTAAATTTTTATCTACATAAAAATACAAAACGTAAATATATATGACGGCCATAAAAATACTGCAACATTGATATGTTTTCATAAAAAAATGTAAGCTTAGTAAAGGTATATTCTTATGTAAAATCAAATTTCAAAAGAAGTTTGCAATAGACTACTTTGAAATTAAAAAAACATATCCAAAACTTGATACCCAAATTTTTACATTTACATTAATAAATGTTGCTATTAGATTTGGATAAGATAATAAAATATTTAAGATAGCTATGATTGTAAACTTGATAATTATTAGATAATAATAGATAACAATGAATTCAAAGTACACAGCACAATAAAATTAGAACTATTTCCACTTAGTGCCTTCTACATCTTCTCTATTAACTACATGATAAACAGTTCTTACTTTATGTAAGAACTGTTTATCATGTAGTTAATAGAGAACAAAAAAAGGTTCAGCATTTCTACAAAAATGCTTTAAACATCATTGATATTGATGCAAAAATCAAGCTGTAATGGCATCAGTGATCTCTACCTCCCAAACAAGACTGGGTGCTTAGCTAACTTTTGTTCATTATTTGACTATAGGTAAAACGTACTGTTTTATTCATTAAAATGCTACTCATTTTTAAATAAATATTAATAAAATCAAAAAAATAATAATTATGAATATTAAATAGAAATAAATGTGTATAAAACAAATATATAAATCTTTGACTATAAAATTCTTATTAAAAGCAGTGCCAGATAAAATTTAAAAACAATTTTTGCTTTGCTCTAAAAATTATACATTAATAAAATAATGTAATAGAGTGCAGAGTTATTAATTCAATAATTTTCAAGTAATTCACAAAATATGTTAAAACTTCCATTCTTTCTTTGCCTTTATAGTAAGATGATTAAGATGATTATATAAACAACTGTTTTATTGAGCAGCAAATGCTTGGATGACTTAATAAAAACAAATATGAATATGAAATTTAATTTAATAGGTTTAAAGTTTCACCTGCTATAAGTGCAGAAATTGCTAAGTTATCTGCAAGGTTTAATTAATGCAGGATTTCTTACCCCTGAATCCTCTGACCTTGCTTTTGATCTTTTTAAGTTAAAGAGTGAGGAATAAAACCATGTCAGTTACAAAGAAAAATGTCTTATAACTTAAAACTTCTAAATAAAGATAATATTGAAAACTATATTAATGAGAGGAAAGATTCAAAAAGAGTAATGATAATTCAGACAACTAAATCCCGCTATTATCGAAGAACAATGCATTTCTGTGACTTTATCCCAGATGATGCAATTGAAATGTATAAAATATTTAATTAACTAAATACATTGAAATAATTGCAACTTTGATCAACAATTAGCATTAACTAATAGTAAAGCATTAATAACACATGGTCACAATTATAAACTGAAATCTGGTAAAAGACTCCACACCAAGATACAACTTTTTTACAAACTACGTTGTAACTATTTGGTTAAACTTTACTACAATCAATGCACAGAGATTAAATCATTTCAAATGTTTTATAGACTAAGAAAAGAACTTTAAAACTTAACTATTAAAAAATTATACAATATTAAAATATTGTATAAAAAATTTAGCATGAAATTCAAATAAAATAAAAAATAAAAAAAGTACAGCAATAACTATAGACTAAAAAGACAATGCTATAATGCATCTTAAAAAGCTGTCATCACAAATATCACTGAGCGATATGCATACTATCTTAATAGAAGGAATAAAAATGGAGCAATATTAGGAGCAATATATTTTAGGCTCAATGGAAGAAATCATTTTTTTATGTCTATATGGAGCGTAATCCTTAATTCAAAGCTCTAGCAGGAAAGGGCTTAGTTAACATCCTAGTAAAAATAATTTACATGTCAATTGTCTTAAAAAACATTATATTATTTTGCGTTTAAAATAGCGTTTATTAAAATCCTTTTTTTTTAGTAAAACCACATTTCTGACACTATATTTATTTCTAAGTTTCTCTATTTCTAAAATAAAATAAGAAAATCTAAAGAATTGCAACAGCTGTCAAAGTTTTAACAACTACAGATGTTAGACTCACACATTGTATGTGTACAGCAAAAATTTATTATTATTATTATTATTATTATTATTATTATTATTGTTATTGCTATTATTACTATTATTATTATTATTATTATTATTATTATTGCTATTATTATTATTATTATTATTATTATTATTATTATTATTATTATTATTATTATTATTATTATTATTATTATTATTATTATTATTATTATTATTATTATTACTATTGCTATTATTATTATTATTATTAATTGCTATTGGCAAATTCTCTGATTATAATGATGAAAATAAATTTTTTAGACATATGCCATTTTATTTGATACTTGGTTCAGAGCATTATTTTGCCTGCATAAATTTTATACTTTTCTTTTACGAAGGAAGATAGGTCTTTCATTTTTAACGAAGTTTTAAGAATCATCATTAAATCGTAAACTGAGATTATTTATATTTACTACATATACAAATAAGATTATATATATTTTTGGCAATTTCTAAAATTGTGTTATTATCTGTTCGCTTAATCAAGGAAAGAAACTCTCTTTGAATTTACATAAGATTATACCTTTTCCTATGCTTTTAGAGGAAAGAAAATGTCTCATTCTACCCTAATCGCCATGCTTTAAAACAAGGATAAAACGTCATAGACTGAGATCTGAGAAAACCGATATGTCGATGGTCATGACAAAGTAAACAGCGACAAACCGTTTACGTAATAATAAACGAAATATCTGATTACGAACATGAGCATTGAATTGTTTACAAGTTTTTAATATTTTAGTTTACGCTCCTGCCATTTATCTGTCTAGTATTCATATATTTTAAAATAAAATAGTACTCATAAATAGATAAAAGTACCCATAAATAGATAAAATATTAAGAGTATAAAAAAAAATTTCAAATCGTTTTTCAAACGAAAGGTGCGATAATCGACCAACAGTTTTAACAGTTAAATCATCCACTGACATCAGTGGAAGATTTAACTATATTTTCGTTGCTTGCAAAGGTTTTTTAGGATCATTTTTACTTAGATTATCCCAAATAAACTCAATAAAGTTACCCCGGACGACGCATACCGATTGGGTAAACTCAATACAGTTTTTGTCTCCCATTTAATAAACTCTATATAGATCTTTTGTAATTTCCTCAGTCGTATGTAATAGAATATTATCATCGGATTTATCTGTGTTACTTAACATAACTTTCCACACTTCAATGTTTTTGATTTTGACAGTGATTTAAGTGTTTGTTTTAAATACCTGAAACAATCAAAATCAGTATTGTAAACTAAATATACGACTGAACATTTATTATCAAAAAAAAGTTAAATGAATGTAAACGGTGTAACGTAAAAACACAATTTCTAAAATATTTTTTCAAAAAAATTTTATTCTAAAATTGCTCACTTTGTCTTAAGAAAAAGTCAGGAAAATTGCTATGGTTAAAAGTATACATGAGCTATAGTTTTTTTTTTCAACTAAATTTAGATAATGACTTTAATTTATTTTTGTTTGTTATTAATTTGTTTTTCTTTCGTTTGACCCATTTGGTTTTGTTTTTTTTTCTCCTCCGGCTATGGCAATTAGCCGAGGCTACATTACCGAGGCCCACAAAGACAAGTTCAGCTCCGAAACGAGCGTCATAACCCACTCTATGGATCGAGAATAAGGTGAGTTTGGGAAGAACGAAGATATGTTAGAGTGAAAGACAGAAGTAGTAGAGTTAGAAAGATAGCATAGAAAAAGCGGACAGGATTGCTCACGATGTTAGAAGGTTCAATACGTACTGTTAGTTAGATCACCTAACTAATGCACAGTGAAAGTCTTGAATGGAGTTCTCTTAATATGACTCTTTCCTCAACTTTTTTTGTCGTCCTTTCGTTTGACACATTTGTGTATATCTGGCTACAAATGACTAATCTCGCCACCAATAATGCGTTACTTCGGGCAGAATTCCTGTGATAATGGCTGATTATTACTTAAAAAATTTTGTTGTGCTTATGGCTATTTTTGTCATAACATTATTAAGTTAATTGATATAATTTATTACTGCTAGTCATAAGCTATTTTTGTATATAATTACGCCCTCGATAATTTTTGTTTGTGTACAAAAAGTTGTTTAAAAAAAAGTTGTCTACAAAAAGAATTTAAAAAGAACAGAATTAAAAATAAAAGTAAACAAAGTTGTCGTTACGTAAAGTTGTCGTTTACTGTCGTCGTATTACTGTTGTTACGTAAATTATGTAAAACTCTATACGTAAAAAGAGTTCATACTATGTTAACTTAATATGAAGTTGTAAATGTAAAATCTAACATCTTGTGCAACATCTGTCCGCTTACTCTGCCATCTTTCTCAATCAACCTCTTTTGACCTTTACTCTAATATTCTTTGTTCTTTTCAAAATCACTTACTCTTGGGTTATGATGCTCTTCGGTGAGCTGAACTCGTCTTTGCAGGCCTTAGTATATGGTCACTATATGGCAATTAGCCGGAGAAGGATAAACCACATTTTTGTAGCTGTCAATTGGTGTGTTGTTTCATCATCTGCATTGATGTGGGGAATTAAGTTAAGGACGAATAAGGTATAAAACTAAAAATCTAAAAATCTAACTTTTTTGCATAAATGTTGTACTTTTTGAAATCAGCTTTTTGCTTTCAAAAAAAATCATTTTTTAGCTTGTTTAAAAAAACAAAAATTTGTTCTTTATATGAGATTATAATTGCAAACAATTTTTCTATTTGGCTAAAATCATTATTTGAAGCTAAAAGGGAAAGATTGTTATTTGCATCTTTTTTTAAAAGTCGTTTTAATAAATCTTTCAAAAACATCTTTTATCTATGAGAAGCTCCATTTTTATAATTCGAATGAATTGACAAAAATGAAATAAAGACATTATAAGCTGCGATGCCCAAAATATAATAAAAATATATTATCGTTTTGGTCAATAATAACTTCATTATAGTGGTGAAAAACTAATAATATAGTGACTTCTTTATCTTTCTTAGGTGCACAAAAAACAATAAACTAGCTATTGATAAAAAAATCTAGAGTTTTATTTCTAAATTAATTTACATATAATATAGATATAAAATAGTAGATATAGAACTCTCTGTATAAAAAAATTTAAAACTTTACTGTATAACAAATATTAATTTAGATATAGGACTCTATATAATAAAATAGTAGAGTTAATTCGAAAACCAAAAGTAGAAGAACGAACCGGGCGATGAAATCCCAGACGTAAACCTTAAGCTATTCTTTTTTACTCTTTAATATGCCATTAAGTCTTTTTACGAATGCTTTACTTGTTTTTGTAGCTCTATCAGCGAAGTGCTTTCACTGGTAGAGTTATGAAAACAAGTAAAGCTGAAAGACAAAATGATGTAAGCAGTGTTTTGCGAATATGAAGACAAGGAAATAATAAGCTAAATAAATAAGCAAGTTCAAGAAGATTAAAAAAGCAAGTAATAAAGAAGGGACCGATAAGTTTCAGACAAAGAAGAAGTGATTGACAAGATTGAAGAAGAAGAAACCGAACAAAAAAGAGCTTTTTTTATTAAATTATTACAAGAATTAAAATATATGTTGGTTTACCTGATGGCTATTATATTTAATTTTTGTTTTTGTTTTTTTTAACAAAATTTTCTGGTAAAATGTTGTTCCACATAACATATGAGAACACGGAAACTCGTAGAGAATCGTTAGATCCTGTCACCAAGAACCGATTAAGAATGCAATAATGATAAACCAGTTATTTTTAAAAATAATTGGTTTATTATTCTTCTGTTCCGATAAAGAGAATCCAATTGACTTTTTTTAGCACTAGCCCATACGATAGTTGCATCATTTAGATGACATTGGATAAGTGAGTTATAAAAATGAATTAATGCATCTTTTTGCATAACTGATTAAAATATTTGTTTCTATGGAAATAAATAAAACAATTCCAGAAATGATTAAAAAATTGTTGTAAAAAATCGCATCAAAAGTACTTGGACTTTAAAATTGTTGTAAAAACTATAAAACTTAAAATTGTTGTAAAAACTATAAAACTTAATAATTTTAACTAAACTTTTTAAGAATGTCATATACAATTGGTAGTACAAATTTTTAAAAAATGTTTCTACACTTCTGGTGGTATAGATAAAATACATGAAAAATGTATTTTGTTTATACTTATTTCTAAAATTTTGTGATGAAAATATGAACGTATGCTTTTAAAGCAAAAAAGTATTTTCTTTTTAAACTTAGCAACAAGACTTAGTTGTTGGTACAACTTGGTTCGTTTAAAAATCTGATTAAACGAATAAAGCTTACTTTAATATTTACTTTTTTAATAATAATTATTATTTTACTTTAACCAAGAATTTTTTCTTTACCTTAATTAAGTGAAATAGAAATTAAGATATCTTAAACATTTTGAAAAAAATAAAATAATGATTTTATGAATAATTTGAAAAAAAATTGCAATTATAACTTTTGTACTTTTTTAATTGAAATTTATTACAAAAATAACGACTTTTAAATAAATGTAACGGCCACGTTAACTAACATAAGTTACAGTTCTATTTATTTTTAAATAATATAAGGAGGATAATTTATTTAAAAAAATCATTTTATAATGTTTTAGAAAATATTAAATAATGGACACTTTTTTCAGGTTTTTCACCAATGTGCGGTGTTACAAATAGTTTGAAGACAATATAAACACGGTTTGTCCGAAAACTTGAACGAAACCCTGCGTTGGGCCAGTTGGTTGTGAACAATATTATGTGCACAAGGTTGTATAGCACTTATAACTAGAATTTTATAGCAAAAATTCGTCACTTTTTAAATCATATTTTGATCTAAAGTTTAATTTTAATGAACAACGTCTTTATCATTATCATCCTAGATAATAGCGTCTATTTCATCAGCAGTTATGTATCAGTATGATACATACTGATACATAACTGATGATGAAGTACACGTATCATCAGCTGAGTCATCACTTGACAAAATTTTATATAAACCAAAAAAATATTATCAGCATCAACTATCTTTAAAGTTTGCTCCTTGTCTGGAAGTTTGTTATTTCGAATATAAAAAAATGCTAGATCCGCCCCTGATTTTTTGTATTGATAGAAACTTAAACGAGTTTACGAGTTTCACCACATATATATATATATATATATATATATATATATATATATATATATATATATATATATATATATATATATATATATATATATATATATATATATATATATATATATATATATATCATATATATATATATATATATATATATATATATATATATATATATATATATATATATATATATATATACATATATATATATATATATATATATATATATATATATATATATATATATATATATATATATATATATATATATATATATATATATATATATATATATATATATATATATATCAGGGGCGGATCCAGCATTTTTTGGTGTTTGAGATAGCTAACTTCCAGACATGGAGCAAACTCCAAACATTTATATGTTTATACTTATATCGAATAAGGATGGTTTGCAAAAAATTGCGATGATTGGAGACTGGGAACAAAAAAGCCCCAAAATTTGAGACGTACCTGCCC